TCTGACAGCGAGCGTCGTCGTTGAGACCACTAGCCACGCAAGGAGAAGCCAGCGTCGTCGAAAACGCCGTCGAAATCAGAGGGAGATACCTCGAGCAGCAATGAAGCCTCTTGTTCGATGGTTGGAGTGGTTGAGCCAACTATTTTGCTGGCGCCGGAGGCTGGGGAAGACTTCCAGGCGATCGTTACAGCTGTGCAGGCGAATCCGACCGTGGTGCTCCTCGACGGCGGCTGCTCTCATCATCTGATGGGAACGCAAGAGGCCTTCATTGACATGAAGCCAGGAGGCGAAATCCGTCACGTGCGCGGATTCAACGGGGCGCTTCAGAACGTCGAAGGTCGTGGCACAGTTGCTCTGAAAGGGGAGACCGGAAAGCAGATTCTGATCCCTGGCGTGTTGTACGTCCTGGGTGTGCAGGTGAATCTGTTGTCGGCTGGCCAGCTGAAGGACAGCAGTTTGAAGCTGCAGGATGAGGGCGACGAGATGCTGCTCGTTTCCGCTGCAGGAGATGTACTCGATCGAGCACGCTTCACCGGCCGGGTCCTCCGCACCAACCTCCACCCCTGCCCCTCGAAATCGACGACATCTTCGACGAAAGCAGTTGCTCTGTGGACGATCGCATCGGCGACAAAGTCAACGCCGGAGAAGTGGCAAACGAGGCTCGCGTACGTTGGCATTGACACGATTAAGAGTTCGGCAAAGCATGGTGTTGCCATTGGACTGGACATCAAGAAGTCGACTGGAGCCGACCTGCCGTGTGCCTCTTGTGTCGGCGGAAAGCTAGCGTGGCATTCTTTTCCAGAGAAGGGATCGGACGTTGAAAACGCCCTCGACGTCGCGCACATTGACCTTTGCGGCCCCTTCCGTGTAACTGCCATGGATGGGAGCCTCTATTTCCTCCTCCTCAAGGACCGTAAGACTCGATTTGTATGGGTCCATCCGATCGCGAAAAAGAGCGACGTGCCCGTCGTTTTCGAAAAGTGGCTGAAGGAAGTGGAGCGGCGGACCTCGAAGTCGGTGAAAGGGTTGCGCTCTGACCGCGGAGGGGAGTTCCTCTGTCGAGCCTTCACCGATCTCGTCGAGGACAAGGGTATCCTCCACAACCTCACGTGCCCCTACACTCCGCAGCAGAACGGCATGGCAGGGCGGGAGATGCGAATGGTTGTCGAATTTGTGCGGACGATGTTGCTTCACATGGGCGTGAAGCATCACTAGTGGCACCTCGCCCTTCGCCAAGCTGTTTGGGTGCACAACTGTCTCGAACGGGCCTCCCTTCCTCTGAGGACGATGCCGTATGAGCTGCTGTTCGAGAAGAAGCCGGACCTTACGCTGGCCCGCGTATGGGGCTGCATGGTGCAGTTCATGGTCCCAGAGCAGCAGCGCGGCGGAAAGTTGGCACCGAAGGTACGCTGGGGAATTCACCTCGGTGTTGCGCCGGAGAGCAAGGGCTGGGAGGTGCTCGACCTCACCACCAACCGCATTGTCAATGTCTTTGGAGGAGTGGAAGCAATCTTCTACGAGTCAATGTCTTTGGAGGAGTGGAAGTTGGAGCATGGGCCGGCATCAGCGCGGACGAAGGATTCTCCGCTAACAGGTTCATTGCCGGCGGCGATTTAGTTGCTCGAAGTGGAGGACGACAGTCCGTTCAACGATCCTGCTCCCTCCATTCCGCCCTCCTCAAAAGCTCCTCCGCCTCTGTCCACCCCAATCCCATCGCTCACCGCCGATCTGCCTAAGTCGGCATCGACGTCGGCTGCCAACGATGAGGGGAGCATTGGTGCGTTGCCTTCGGCTCCGCCCATCGGCATCGCTGGCGGTCGACGTAATCTGATCGGCAAGCAAGTCGGCGTTGTAGAGGAGTCTCCGTCGATAGGGGAGCCGTTGAACGAGAAGCGCGTTTCAGAGAAGCCGTCGACAGGGGAGCCGTGGAACGGGGAGCACGATTCAGAGGAGCCATCGAACGAGGAGCACACTTCAAAGGAGCGGACGGCAAGGAAGCAGTTCGACGATGGCACATCGGACGACGTTGTTAAAGTCATCGGCGGCGCTGATGGGGAGACGTTGGAGGTCGATCAATGCCTCACCTACATCGCTAACACGCGCGATTTCGCTCTGTAGTTTGGCGGCGGACCCGAAACTCTGAAACTGGTCGGCTACGCGGACGCGGACGACGCTAGTGACAAGCAGACGCGCAGCAACACGAATGGCTACGTTCTCACCTTCGGCGGCGCAGCTGTCTCCTGGACGAGCCAAAGCATCGAGTGTGTTACTCTATCCTCGACGAAATCAGAGTACATCGCGGCCACCGAAGCTGGCAAGGAGGCTCGTCGACTTCCATTCCTCCTCGCCGAGATCCAACTCCTCGACGCTGGGACACCAACTGCTCTTAATGTGGACAATCAGTCTGCCATCACTATTGTTGAGGGCTTGGGGCTGAAGGGAAACCTCAAGCACATGGAACGACGCTACGCCTGGCTGAAGCAGATGGTGAAGCGCAAGAAGATTGCGCTGGAATACATCCCAACTTCCGAGCAGCCGGCGAACTTCCTCACTAAGGCGCTGCATTTTCCGGCCTTCAGCCGGTGCTCTGTCGCGGTCGGCCAAGTTCGCCTTGCCGAAATCGGCGACGACGATGATGACGTGCAGCAGTAGGTGTCATGTCCTCGAACATGGCTGGTGCGGTGATCGGCGTGTCAGTAGATCTGCACTGTGGATGCCCGATTGATCCTGGAGAGGGTTACAGGCGCGTTCACCTGGGGGGTTATGGGCGCACTGACCCGCTACTGAAACAAGCCCTTATATCCCAATGGTCTAGTGGTTGGGATTGTGACATGGTATCAGAGCGGTCTCGGGTTCGATTCCCGGTGTATGCACATGTAGGCCGTTGCCGCTGTGCTTAGTCCTGGGCCTCCCATTGTGGGGGGGTGTCAGTAGATCTGCACTGTGGATGCCCGATTGATCCTGGAGAGGGTTACAGGTGCGTTCGCCTGGGGGGGTTATGGGCGCACTGACCCGCTACTGAAACAAGCCCTTATATCCCAATGGTCTACTTAGGTTCTGGGTGGACCTTGTGTGTGCGGGCCCAAGCTTGAGCTGGGTAGGGGAGTGTCGAGGAGAAAGGCCCCGCTCTCGCTTGGGCACATGCATTCTCTGCGACGACGTGGTGAATTCGACGAAGTGAGCGTCGCATTGGATCAGCCCGTCCTCTGAAACCGCGGTGGGTTCTCGAGGAGGTGGTCCTCTGATTCACCCGCCCATCGACGAGCTCTGGTCGACGGGGTGCTGTTCGACGAGCTCGTCCTTTGATCTGCTAGTGAGTCGCGCGATCTCTGACCGACGGTGTGCAGTTCGAAGAGCCTCCTTCTCTTATCGAAGGCGCCTTCGGCAAACCTCGTCTCGGCGAACTGGTTGGCCGAATTCGCGCGACTGCGGAACTCTGCGAAGGCAGGCGGAATTCGCTCAGGTGGTTCTTAGCGAAATTTCACCTGCGGAATGGCATCACGTGTTCGACGGTGGACATCTAACGAAACCGTCGGAACGTTTTCTACATGGCACCTGCACAATGTCTCTGACGGTACAACCGTCTACCTGCACCTACTCGGCAGGTGCACACATGCGCAGATATTCACCTTCGAATGCAGCGCTGGCAGGCCGCCCTGCTGCAGCGCTGGCATGTCGCCCTTTTGCTACGCTGGGAGGCCGCCCTGCTGCAGCATCGGCGAATCACTCTGATGCAGTGCTGGCAATTCGCCTTGCAGAATTATTGCTAGGGGTTCCAATGCCATTCTAGACATATCACTTGCATGCCTCATTTTTGTACTTTAATTCTCAATTTCTCGATGTTCTTTTCAATCCCTTAGTGAAAACTCTGGCCAAATTTCTCTATGACAACAAGTTGTAAGAACTCTGTTTAGAGCGTTACGATCACCCGCACAACCCCGTGCCCTCCTCCGTAGTCCATTCCCGTTATAGGGTGACTCTCCGCATTATCATGTCCACTACAGTTCCTCAGTTACATCATCACCTACCGTATTATATGATAAAACTCCGAAGAGGTTATAGAAGTTTTAAAAAATATAACACCTACGCTAGCCAGAAGAAAGATTTGGGTAAATATTTGGCTACTATCCAAACATATCTATTCCCCAAGTGGTGACGTTTATATCTGGAATTGGAAAAGATTTATGTGTAAGTCAAGAATTGATTGCAATTGGGTTAGTTTTTTCACAAGATTTTGATATGTAAATAACGTGCATGGTGTAGCTTAGTATTCAACAAAACCTTAATATTCGGGTTTAATGATGTGTGATTATTGACAGAAGTGTGTTCTTCTGGTTTGGATTTGTCGATGGTGGCGACGGATGCCTTTAGTCGACGTATCGACGGTTCTCCGGGTTCACCGCAACCAGCAGTTTCCGCCGAACAGAAACATGCCCTAGGAGCATGTGTGAACCGTCGATCCATCTCAAATTTTCTCTCAACTGTCAAATCTTGACCATCAAAACCTTTATAGCCTTACCCCCAGACGAGCCCCTTTCATCTCTATTCTCCACCCCCTCTACAGTATCACCTTCGCTATCCCGTATATGTGTGTTGGTTTCCTTTCTGAGCATTTTTCGTTCACGTTCATTTCTCCTGTCCGCCATTGAATATTTGATTCGAAGATGCCAATTCTTTTATTAGTAGTATCCACCCCGCCACGGAATCAACGACGGTCTCGTCGATCGGCGATGTGGCAGGCGTAACGGCGCTGGTTGTCGCGCTGCTGGTAACGTCGCGTCCCCATGCCATCACGAGTATCGTCGAAACCTTTTAGGGTTCGAGCTGCCATCATGATGTACTTGCGAACCGCAGGAGAGCGAAGTCGTATTTCTTGCCAGTTTATTGGTTTTCCTACCTTCTCTGTTTAGTATAGCTAGTATTCCAGCATCCCCAGACTCGGATAGACTAGGATTTCAACAACCCACACCTTCGCATAGGCGTTTCTTTCGTCGTATTAGATGGGGTTGGAGACGCCACAAGAGCTGGAGCACGCGGGAAGTAGGGAAGCGTCAGGGCACCCCGCATTAGGCGCGGGACCGAGCGCGAACCAGTCAGGGGGAGAGGCGCCGCACCCGGCGAATGCGGAGGCGAAAGCGGAGATGGACGCGGATGAAGCAGCGCGGGAGAAGCAGCGGAGAAAGCAGAGCTCGACGGGGCAGGTGATGGAGGTGCCGCCCATGGACGAGTACTTGTGCCCCATCTCGGGCGACGTTATGGAGGAGCCCGTTACGATCGCGTCGGGACACACCTTCGACCTCAAGTCCATTCAAAGGTTCTTCGACGGTGAGCGCCGCGCGAGAACGCGAGTGCGCGAGTGCACGCGAGCGGAGGGTCATCCGTGGAGCTGAGGACGGTTCTCGGGAGGGTTAGGTGGCTGTTACGAACCTATGAGTGGAAATGCGAGGGCGAGAGAAGGGCTTGGGGAAGCGGAAGCAGGGACGAGGCCTGCTACAGGCCACATTGCCGTGCACGGCTGGCCGGCTTCGGTGCAACGCTTCGCTTGCGATAGCTGGCTAGCAATCTGTTGCGGGAGGGCTTGAGCACTGGAGCGTCTGTTCTAGGGCTCCTATATCGCCACCGTAACGACGACGACCATACCGGCCACACCACTTCATCAAGTTACAGCATCCTAAAACTGCCTCTTGCTGCCCAGCCTCTCTTTCCCACCCCGTTCCACCCCTCTGCATCCCTCCCTTCCCCTCTCCACCCCTCTTCCGCGCAACGCGCGCAGAGGGCAACAAGCACTGCCCCGTAACGCAGGAGGCGCTGGATAACCTCGAGATGACGCGCAACGAGGACATGGCGCGATCCATCGACGAGTGGCGCGCGCGCAACACGGTGATGCGCATCCAGGCGGCGCGGCCGAAGCTGCAGTCCGCCAAGGAGGAGGAGGTGGAGGGCGGGCTGCTGGAGCTGTTTCAGCTGTGCGAGGAGCGCGCCACGAACCGGTATTGGGTGGCGGCGGAGGGGCTCATCCCCGTCGTCGTCAACCTCCTCAAGTCCACCTCTCGCAACCTCCGCCGGAAAACGCTCGCCACGCTCGCCAACCTCGCCAACGGGAATGACGAGAACAAGGTGCGGGGGATTGTGGTGTACGGGTGCATGTGTTGGAGAAGCGGGACAGAGAGTAGGACGTTGGGGGTTGGGCTTCCGCCAATCCCTGTCCGCCACAGCCTCTTCCCCATACCGTCTCCGCTGGAGGTCGTAGCTCGCCCAGGCGCCATTCAGCTTCTAGAGCGCACTCTTAGAGCCTCCTCGCACTCTTAGGGGCTCCTCCAACGCAAAACCAATCCCTTCCCACATCCCCCGCACGACCTTGCCACTCGCTACCCACTCCGTTTCCCTCCCCCCATTTCCCCCCTTTCCCTCCCACGCGTCCCCACCACTCCCCCCCACGCATCCCTCTACATCCCTCCGCGCGTCCGCTGCGCAGGAGCTGGTGGTGGATGCAGGCGCCATTCAGCTCGCCGTGCGCTCGCTGTCGCGTGACGTGGGCGAGAGCCGGCAGGCCGTGGCGCTGCTGCTGGAGCTGTCCAAGAGCCCCAAGGTGTGCGAGGAGATAGGGCGCGCGCAGGGCTCCATCCTGCTGCTCGTCACCATGCTCAACAACGAGAACGCCAACGCCGCCAAGGACGCCGCCGCCGTGCTGCAGCAGCTGGCCAGCAACGACCAGAACGTCGTGCAGATGGCCGAGGCCAACCACTTCAAGCCACTCGCTGACCGCCTCACCACAGGTGGGCTCTGCTGCCTTGCTGCCTTGCTGCCTTGCTGCTGCTGCTGCTGCTGCTGCTGCTGCTGCTGCTGCTGCTGCTGCTGCTGCTGCTGGGGTGTTGGTAGAAGGGTGTGCTGTTACGGGATTGATCTTGCTCTTTTGCGCGGTGACTACAAGTCCAGTCCGAACGCTGAGTCGTGCCCACTGTTGCCGTGTTTCCACATGGCCTTTCCACAGAATAAGAATACTTTCCACCAACCCATCCTCCCGTCCCGTCTCCTCCCCTCCTCCCTTCTCCTTCCCGACCTCCCCTCTCCCTCTCTCTCTCTCTCTCTCTCTCTCTCTCTCTCTCTCTCTCTCTCTCTCTCTCTCTCTCTCTCTCTCTCTCTCTCTCTCTCTCTCTCTCTCATTCTCTCCCCTCTCCATTCCGGTCCCACCTCTCTCTCCTCTCCCTTCCTCCACCTCTCACCTGCTTGCCACCCCCTCCCCTCTCCCGCCCCCCTCCCTCCCCCTGTGCTCGGACAGGTCCCTCTGGATTGGAATGGCTCTTCACAACTGTCAGAGGGAGTCCCCCTCACGGACCAGGGCAAGGCCGTGCCGCTGCACCACAGCTCACTCCCCACCATCTACACGTCTCTTTCTCTTTCACCCTCCACCTTCGCCCCCTCCCTTCCACCTCGCCCCCTCCCCGCGCCCACCCTCGTCCCCCGTCCTCCCTCCCGCCAGGCCCACATGACAAGGAGTGTGGTGGCGACGGCGCACTCTCCTTTGCGCCCCACTACCTCGTACTTGCTATCGACTCCCACGTCCCTTCCTTGCCCTACCCCGCGCCGTGCAGGATCGGACATGACGCGGATCGTGATGGCGAGCGCACTATCGCGCATGTCCTTGACGGACCAGAGCAAGGCAGTGCTGGTGCAGCAGGGCGCCATCCCGCCGCTCGTCACCATGATCGCCGCGGGCAAGCTCGAGGCCAAGGCAGCGGCCCTGGGCGCGCTGCAGAACCTCTCGTCGCTGGCGGCCAACCGCAACGAGCTCATCCGCGCGGGCGTGGTGCCGCCGCTGCTGACGCTGCTCTTCTCCGTGACGTCCGTGGTGATGAGCCTCAAGGAGGGCGCCGCCGCCATCCTCGCCAACATCTCCCTGGCGGCGGGCACGCAGGCGGAGACGAGGATCGACGGCAACGGGGCGATTCTGGAGTCGGAGGAGACCATCTTCCAGCTGCTCTCGCTCATGAACCTCGCTGGCCCCAACATCCAGGTGCGCTGCCGTGGCATGACCTCCACACCTGTTAGAAGTTTGTTGGGCTTTTATGTTATCACCACACACACACCACACACACACCACACACACACCACACACACACCACACACACACCACACACACACCACACACACACCACACACACACCACACACACACACCACACACACACCACACACACACCACACACACACCACACACACACCACACACACACCACACACACACCACACACACACCACACACACACCACACACACACCACACACACACCACACACACACTACACACACACCACACACACACCACACACACACCACACACACACCACACACACACACCACACACACACCACACACACACCACACACACACCACACACACACCACACAGGGCCTTCATATGGTGCAGCAGCCTGGGGCATAGATAACCAGGGCGTATCCTTGTATCGCTTAGGAATGTTTCTAATCTGTCTGCTCCTTCTGCCCTTCTGCTCACCCTTCTCCTTATACACCATGGCATCTGAGGGTGTGCGTGTTCATGTGTGTGTGTGTGTCTGTGTCTGTGTGTGTGTGTGTGTGTGTGTGTGTGTGTGTTTGTGTTTGTGTGTGTGTGGGTGTGTGTGAGTGTGTGTGCATGCGTGCATGTGCATGTGCATGCGTCTGTGTGTGTTTGTGTGTGCATGTGCATGTTTGTGTGTGCATGCGTGCATGTGCATGTGTCTGTGTGTGTTTGTGTGTGCATGTGCGTGTGCGTGTGCATGTGCATGTGCATGTGTGTGCATGTGTGTGTGCGTGCATGCACATGTGCTGGCAGGTGAATCTACTGAAGGCGCTGCTGGGCATGGCGTCGGTACCGCAGGCCATGGAAGTGCGCAACCGCATGATAGTGGGCGGAGCAGTCGACGTCCTCATCCCCTTCATTGACGGCTCTGAAGGGGTCTGTGCCTCCTCACCTGCTCCCCGCCCCCGCCCCCCACCCCGCTGCTGCTGCTGCTTCTTGTGGGGTTGGGTGCTGAGTGTCGTGTTCCGCTTGTTGTTTGCCGCTTGTTGTAGAATGGCCTGCATGGCTGCCGGCTCCGGCTCCTGCCACAAATGCCGCCACCCATCCCATCTCCCTCCCCCGGCTTCACCTCTCCCTCCCCTCTCACCTGCCATCCCTGCTCCTACCAAGCCGCCCCCCTCCCCCTCCATCCCGGCTTCCTGCGCCTGCCCGTCCCCTCCCCCCTCTCCTGTCTTTCTCAATCCCAAGGTTAAAAAATACGACCGTATTTTTGAAAATTTACCGTAAATTACGGTATCGTAATTTACGGTCGTAAATTACGGTAAAAAACGGTTTGACGTTGCAAAATTAGGTTGGTTCAAAAATACGGTCGTAAATTACGACCGAAAGTTTGAAACCGAGTTTGTGTATAGCGAATTTCAACATTTCCCAACCGTCAACCTGTTCGTGAGAATTTTTGTGGCCCCAAACCCACTCGAGAGTGTTTTTTTCCCGAGTCGCGAGTGTCAGCAAAATCTCGAGGCGCAACATTGTGCATTTTGGTGACAGTTTAACAGGTTTGTTGCCCATTCGCACACTCGTTTGTGTATTTCGCCGAATCGCAAATGTACAAATTTGTGCGACGCGGCAAATTGTACATTTGGCGAACGGATAACACAAGTCTACCCGTTTCGCCAAGTCGGTGGGTCGTTTCGCGGCCCGTTCGTTTTTTTCGCCCGCATGCGCTACTCAACTCAATTTCGACACTGCAAAACCATTCCAACCAATAGCGTTCGTCCAATCTTCATCCCTTCCATCTCATCCCTTTTGCATATTCCATTCGCCAACGCAACACCACCAAGTTAAACCAGGGCAAAAACCACCATTCTGTAGTGTAGTATGTTGTCGCCTTCCTTGTCATCGTTGTAAGCTTTCTAGGAATTTCTGTAAAAAAAATTCCGCAAAAAATGTCCATTTAAAAAACCACCGTATTTTTGCCAAAACCACCGTAAATTACGACCGTAATTTACGAGCCGTAATTTACGTTTACCGTGTTTTTGAACCTTGCTCAATCCTCTCCCGTCTCTCCCCCCACTCCTCCGCTGTCCCGTATGGTGCGTGCACCCATGGGCGTGCCACGCCCCTGCGCCGTGCTACCAGGGGCCAGCGACGCGGCCGTTGGCAGCGAGGGTGTTGAGGGAGCTGTCAAAGGAGGCGGAGGCGGGCAGGAGTGTGGCGGGCAGCCTCATGGAGAACCAGGCGGCGGCGCTCAAGGCCATCATCGCCATGCTGCACGACAAGGACTCGTTTGATAACCGCGCTGCTGCTGCCGGCCTCATCGCTGCGCTGCCACCCACTGACACCAAGCTCAACCAAGCTCTCGTGCAGGTGGGTGCTCTCGTGCAGGTGGGTGCGCGCGTGGGTAGGGGGGGGGAGGGGGCAATCTTTGAGCCGACTCAAACAACGACGCCTGAAAACCGCGCTGCTGCTGCTTGGCTTATCGGTGCGTTGCCGCCTCGTGACCCAAGCTGACGAGGCTCTTGTCCAGCTGGGCGGGTGGGCAGGTGCTGCTTATGTTCTGCCATGTATCTCCCGTGCAAGGAAGCATCGCCATGGCCTGCCTGGGCATGTCGTTGTCCACTTGTCGATTGGCGTAGCGCCCTCAAGCCATGCAAGGAACATGCATGGCCTGCCCTGCAAGTCCATCTTGCATCTCCTTCCGACCTTCCTTCTCTTCTCCCCCTGGCACTCCCTTCCTCCTCGCACGCGCTCCCCGGCAGGCGGATGTGGTGCAGACGCTGGTGACGATGCTGGGCATGAAGGGGGGCGGCGTGGGCACCAACGCGCAGCTCAAGGACGCGGCGCTGGAGGGCGCTGCTAATGCCCTTGTGCGCTTCACTCTCCCCTCCAAGTATGCCTCCCTCCCTGCCCCCTACATGCCCCCTCCGTGCACCATCCATGCACCATCCATGCCCCCTCCATGCACCATCCATGCACCATCCATGCACCATCCACCCTCCGTCCATGCACACTCCTTTATCTGTTGCCGCGTGTCACCATCCCGATCAGACTGCTTTCCCCCCATTTGACGTTCTGTCCAACCTCGCACTCCCCTTGGTCGTCTCATTTTCCTCTGATTATACTACCCACCTGGTTAAGCCGTCGTGGTTAAGCCCACCAGTCTCCCTGTTTCGCCCCTGCGTTGCTGGTTACCAGCAGGGTTACGAGCTGCGGGATGGCTCCTAGCTCTGCTAAAGCCCTTTTCCCCTTCCCCTTCCCCTTCCCCTTCTCCCCCTTCTCCCGTCCCCCTTTCCCTCGTTCCCCCCCCCCCCATCGAGCAGCATCAAGCAGCAGCAGCAGCTGGCGGAGCTAGGAGCCATCCCGCAGCTGGTAACCCTGCTGGTGACGGGCAACGCGGGGGCGAAGAGGGGAGCAGCGCTGTGCCTGGGCAACTTCTCCGAGTCCAGCCCCACGCTCTCCGTCTCTGTCAAGGCCAAGTCAGGCGGGTGCTGCTTCAAGGCGCCCGAGGAGCCCAAGTGTGTGGTGCACGGGGGCACGTGCTCCGTGCGCGCGTCCTTCTGCCTGCTGGAGGCGGAGGCCATCGACCCGCTCGTGGGCGCCATGGGCGAGAAGGACCCTCTCACGGCCGAGGCCGCTCTCACCGCGCTGTCGACGCTCATGGCGGACTCGTGCCGGTGGGAGGCCAGCGTCAAGATCATCCATGAGTCCGGTCAGCCTGCTGCTGGGTCGGGTCCAGTGCCTGGGGCTTGTTTCGGTGTTGAGAGGGGTGTGATGGGGTTGGATGGGGATGGGATGGGGTGGGATGGAGGGAGTGTGGATCAAGGCATTTGATTCTCTGGAGTGTTTCTATTGCTTTAATTCTGACATTTTGGCTGTCTATGGGGTAGAGCTGGATGGGCTGGGTCGCAGGGCATTGGTGTTGCGGGATCACACCCTGCCAGCATTGGTGTTGCGGGATCACACCCTGCCAGCATTGGTGTTGCGGGATCACATCCTGCCAGCATTGGTGTTGCGGGATCACACCCTGCCAGCATTGGTGTTGCGGGATCACACCCTGCCACCCCATCAAGTTCTTGTCTCCTATCCCCATCCCCATGCCGCCCCCATCCTTTGTCCCCATCCCCGTATTCGATCCCCACCCCTCCTGCCTGACGACTCCCTTCTCTCTGCCTCCCTGCCGCTTCTCCTCCGCGCTCCCTCCCTCCCTCTCTCTGCCCTGCCTGGCGGCCTCCCCTCTCTGTCTGCCTGTCTGTGCGTGTCTCTCTTGTGTGGACCAGGCGGGTTTGGGCGGGTGGTGCAGCAGCTGAGCGAGGGCACGGAGAGGGCGAAGGAGAAGGGGGTGTGGATGTTGGAGAAGCTGTTTCGCCTCGAGGAGTACAAGTTTGAGTACGCCACCAAGGCACAGGGCGCGCTCATTGAGATGACCCAACACGGGTCCAACGAGACCAAGCCCGTGGCTGCTAAGATCTTGAGCCATCTCGAGCTGCTGCACCAACAGTCTAGCTACTTCTGAGCGCCTTACGGGGTTTGGGCGGTTCATTAGGTTAGGTTCAGGTTCAGGTGGTGAGTGTGAGGGGTGTAGGTGTGTGCTTTGGGTGTGGTGGGTGTGGGAGGTAGTGTGGATGGTGGAGGGGTGTGGGTGGTGGTGGGTTGGGTGTGGGTGAGTGGCTTGGCATGGCACGATTTGTGGTGTGCCATTATGTTTATTTTTGCTGGGTTTGCTGCGTTCCTTGGCATTAGGCAGTCTGGCATTGCAGCAGGTGAAGAGTCAAAGTAGCCTACATGATTATCTGCCAGTGTTGGTGTTCAAGCTTACGGTATTTAGGGATTTGAGCACAGGAGACCTCGTGCACAGGAGACCTCGTGCACAGCACATCACACGCCCACGTATTGTGTAGATCTTGGATCAGAATAAAAATGAGATAGGGCCTGTAGGTTGTAGTGTAGCTGAGTACTGTTGTTTGATTGTACAATCAAGAAATGCCATTAGTACAAGGATTAGAGCTTCAATGATCAAGAAATGGCATCTCTCTCTTTCGAGCGATCCTAGAGCTTCATGTGAGCTCAATATGGTACGATACCTTGGTTTTTATTCAGGCTAAATACCTCCCTTGGAAAGGGCGGATTGGGAGACTGCAGAGCAGAGCATTGAGCCAGCAGGAAGCTAGACGAGCGCCGTATTCACTTAATCAGCACACATGCGCACGTGGATGGTAGTGCTCGCGGTGAGGGGTGGCCCTGCAGCTCAACTGGAGTGGTGCATGCACTCGTCTGTACGTGCCATAGTCGTCTCAATACTCGCCTACATGGGGAGCCCGAACGTTCGCTGCTCTACTGTCCCTCCTCTCACCACACGCCGTATTAGCTGTGAGTACACATGTGGCGATTGGCTGTAAGAGCAGCTGTGGTGACAGTCATTATCTGTACATGCCCGAACCACTGGGGGCCAAGCCCTGTTCAGGCAAGGCTGCTAAGGGTGGTTTGGCTTCAAGGCCAGTAACGGCAGCGGAAGCAAGAGTTTCAAACAGGCTGCGGAATTTCCTGCGGTGACTGCGCTGGTTGCTGCACACACGGCAAGGAGGGTAGGGAGAGGGCACGGAGAAGGCAGCGAAAGGGCAGGGAGTGGGGAGGGAAAGGGCAGGGAGATGGCAGGGGGAAAGTGCAGGGAGATGGCAGGGGGACGGCACAGCGAGGGCAGGGACGGGGCATTGTGGGCAGAGACGGGGCATTGAGGGCCAAAGACAAGTTAAAGTGAGTACAGGCATGTGTGTCTGCGCGTGTGCAAAATAAATGCATGAAAGGAAGCAAGGGAGGAGGGAGGGAAGAGTGTGAAGAGCACGGCGAGCAGCTCATCAGACCATCCCCCTCTCCTTCCTTCCGTCTCGTCACACGCCCTGTCTTCACCTCACATCCCCGTCTCGTGCCCTCTCCTTGCCTCACATCCCCGTCTCGTGCCCTCTCCTTGCCTCACATCCCCGTCTCGTGCCCTCTCCTTGCCTCACATCCCCTTACCAATCTCCTCCCCTGCAGCCAAATCATGCTTCTGGCAGCCTGCTGGGCGCACTACTTTCTTGAACCCTCTTGACCCCTCTTGGCCACTCCTGAACTCGCTTGAGCCGAAACGCTCTTGCCTCCGTGCCGTCATGGCCTCATCTCATCCCATCTACAGCCTTTAGACCATGCCACCCATATCACCGCATATAGCCCCATACACCCAATATCAACTCATATCACCCCATATCACCCCATGTCACTCCATGTCACTCCATATCACCCCAGATAACCCCATATCACATCATGTCACCCCACATCACCCCTCATCACCCCATGTCACCCCATATCACATTACGTCACCCCATATCACCCCATCCCACCCATGCCCACCCATGCACCTCAGTGTCCTCCGCGCCTGCGACCACGGGGTGCCCCCCATAGCTGCTGTCCAGGCTGTTGGGCGCGCTGCTGCTGCCGTCCTGCCCACTCGCACAGGGGAGAGGGAGTAAGGGGAGAGGAGCGGATAATGAGTGGGGGAGACGGGAGAGCGTGAGAAAGGAGGGAGGGTGTGAGAGGAGAAGGGAGAGTGGGAGAGGAGAAGGGAGTGAGTGGGAGAGGAGAATGGAGTGAGAGGGAGAGGAGAAGGGAGTGGGTGGCAGGGGAGAAGGTCGTGAGTGGGAGTGGGTAGTGGTGGCCAGAGATCTTTATTCAACCAGTGTGCCCTATCGTTGTACCCAATACTTATATCAATGAAGGACCACTGAAGGGAGAGGGGAGGCGCAGCACACCTCAAAGAGGTAGTTGAGCAGGTGGGCGCACCTCAGAGAGGTAGTTGAGGAGGGTGTCGGACTGGAAGAGCGCACCTCAGAGAGGTAGTTGAGGAGGGTGTCGGACTGGAAGAGCGCACCTCAGAGAGGTAGTTGAGGAGGGTGTCGGACTGAAAGAGCGTGGCGAAGGCGGACGGGTGGAAGATGGCGCTGCCCACGAACTCATCACCCACCGCCCGCTCCCGCCCCGCCGTGGGGCTCAGGTCCGGCGTTGCCGAGCCTGCAGGGCGGTACGGGCCGAGGCTGTCGTAGGCAGGGAGGTAGGCGTGCACCTCTGAGGTGGGCACGGGTGTGGCGTCCCTGCTGTCCGCCAGGCCCAGGTGCAGCATCTGCACGCGGGGGATGGGCAGGAGCGCGTCTCGCTGCCTTTTGACAATCCTAGACAACCTCTGACTTGGGCACGGCCTTGCCATGCCCATGGCCATGGCCTCGATGCCATCCGCTAGGCCCAGGCGAGAGTTGGTGGATGTGAAGGAGGGGAGAGGCAGGGACGGGGCCAGTTGGCTCTGGGAAATCCTTAAGAACACACGACAGTGCCATGCGATGCCCTCCCTGGCACATAGATGACACGCCGGAATGGAGTGATGAATGCGGGAAGCTAGTGGGTGAATGGAGAGGGCGCAGTGAAGGTTGGGATGTGACATCCAGTGAGGTGAAGGTTGGGATGTGACATCTAGTGAGGTGAAGGTTGGGATGTGACATCCAGTGAGGTGAAGGTTGGGATGTGACATCCAGTGAGGTGAAGGTTGGGATGTGACATCCAGTGAGGTGAAATGATCTCTATAGGCAACGTGGGACAGCATTTCACAAAAAACCATATTTAAACGGGTAAATGCTGCGGGTATCTGACGAGGAAGTAATGAGAAAGGCACCTGAAGCAAGAGGAGAGGAATAACTACCTGAAGACGATGGACTAAGCACCTGAAGACGATGGACTAAGCACCTGAAGACGATGGACTAAGCACCTGAAGACGATGGACTAAGCACCTGAAGACGATGGACTAAGCACCTGAAGACGATGGACTAAGCACCTGAAGACGATGGACTAAGCACCTGAAGACGATGGACTAAGCACCTGAAGACGATGGACTAAGCACCTGAAGACGATGGACTAAGCACCTGAAGACGATGGACTAAGCTCCTGAACCACAGAGAATTGGTAAAGCGAAACCACAAACCCAAACCAAGGAATCTCATAACCTACAAGAGAATTGACCTGAAGGGAATGTGGGAATGAGGTGAAGGCAAGACGACAATGACCTGAAGCCAGAGCAGGGCGGAGAGGAGGCGCAGCGTGAAGGTGAGGGAGTGGCACGTGAGCTCCAGCAGCACTGCCAGCGCCACCAGCGGGTGCTGCCTCCACGGCGCCGTCAGCTCCTCGCTCCTGGTGCCATGCCGTGCCACGCCGTGCCGTGCCGTGGGGTGGGGTGGGTGGGGTGGGGTGGGGTGGGGTGGGGTGAGGCACGGTGGGGTGGGTGTAAGAACTGAGCATTAGGGTGGGGTGGGTGGTAGAATTGATGCATTAGGTAATGAGCTCAAGGTTCTTGAGTACATTGGACATGAGCAGGGATGGATGGGGTGGGAATTGGGGCCAATCCCTCCCAATGAGATCGGCTGAAATCCCAATGAGATCCCAATGAGATCGGCTGAAATCCCAATGAGATCCCAGTGAGATCGGCTGAAATCCCAATGAGATCCCAATGAGATCCCAATGAGATCGGCTGAAATCCCAATGAGATCCCAATGAGATCGGCTGAAATCCCAATGAGATCCCAATGAGATCGGCTGAAATCCCAATGAGATCCCAATGAGATCGGCTGAAATCCCAATGAGATCGGCTGAAATCCCAATGAGATCGGCTGAAATCCCAATGAGATCGGCTGAAATCCCAATGAGATCGTCTGAAATCTCCAATTGGTGGGTTGAAGATTTCAGTTCATCACATTCGGGTGAGGTTGGGATGTGGGTGTACATCCAACTACAAACTACACTAAACTAGGACATTAAAAGTTCAACTACAAAAGTTAAGATTGAGGGCTAACTCTAGCAGTGGGCTGGGGTGGGGTGCGGTGGAGTTGGTTAGGGTGGGATTTGGCAAAGGAAAAGTAGGGGGAGGCGAGTGAGAGAGGGCATGTCCAGCATGATGAGGCGAGTGAGAGAGGGCATGTCCAGCATGATGAGGCGAGTGAGAGAGGGCATGTCCAGCATGATGAGGCGGGCATGCAGGGTGTGGCGGAGGGGGAGAGAGCGTGGTGGCAGGTGAAGCAAGGAGTAAGGTGCAGAGTGAGTTGAAGATGCATGTGAGGCGGTGCAGGTGTTGTGAACGCTGCGGGTCGTGCCAGTGGCAGCGGGTACAGAAACGAGGGCTGGCAGAGAGATGGAACTGGGAGAGAGGACGAGGAGATGTGCGGGTAGGGAGGAGCAGCTGGGCGTAGGGAGGTGGGGCGAGTGAGCAGGAGAGGGCACCAGATGTGGGGGGCGAAGAGGGCACCAGATGTGGGGGGCTAAGTTGGATCTTACGTTTACGGTCTGTTATGTTTTCGTTTATTTACGACGTTTTTTACGTTTACGAACGGTTGCCTGGATTCGGCCTTACGTTTACGGTCACCTGAAAACTTTTTTAGGTCTGCCCGAGGAAAAACATTACCAGAGTACTAGGGAGACTCATTCTGTAGGCATCATGTCAATGTTGAAGAAACAATAATACCCTAAACATAAAATCCTCCTCCTCCTCCTCCTCCTCCTCCTCCTCCTCCTCCTCCTCCTCCTCCTCCTCCTCCTCCTCCTCCTCCTCCTCCTCCTCCTTCTCCTCCTCCCCTTCCCCCTCCCCTTCCTCCTCCTCCCCTCCCCTCCCCCCAGCTCCCCCTCCCTAACACAGCACGGTCATCTCCCTCCCACCTAATTCCTTAATTTGCTATCTTGTTCGACGTCAACCTACCAGCTCGTTCATATCCTATCGTATTCCTTTCCTACTAGTCAACGCTGAATCTGAAACTTTCACGGACTCGAAAGACTTACGCGAAAGTTAACGTTCGTAAACGAAAACGTAAAATTTCGCGAAATTGACGTTTACGAGACCTCGAAAAACGTAAGTGCCCAACTTAGGTGGGGGGCGAAGAGGGCACCAGATGTGGGGGGCGAAGAGGGCACCAGATGTGGGGGGCGAAGAGGGCGAGCCAGAGGGAGTCGAGGAGCAGCATGAGCATGAGCAGTGCGGCGTATGTGCGCCCCAGCGCCTGGTACCCGCTGGCCACGGCCACCAGGCCGAAGAGCGCCACGGCCACGTCCGCCACGATGACGCCCGTGTACGTGGGCCCAACCGTGCCCAGTAGCCCTATGAACGCCTGCCGGGGACGCGCAGTGGCGAGGCGGGCGGAGAGTGAAGGGGTTGGCACGATCAATGGCGTGTAGGTGGGGCCACCGTGGGCCAGCAGGCGTATGATGGCGTGCACGCAGGCGAGGAGGGCAGGGGGCGTCCGGCGCGTACAAGTTCAGTCCCATGACGCGGGTGGACGCGGGGCGGCGAGCGGCGCATGGGTGCCATGTGAGGCCACCCGCCTCTTGCGGAGTAATGAAGGATTCGAAACGCAGCAAGCCGTGTGGTGCCATGTGAGGCCACCCGCCAGTGCCATGTGAGGCCACCCGCCAGTGCCATGTGAGGCCACCCGCCAGTGCATGCGCTCCCACCCGCCAGTGCATGCGCTCCCACCCACCAGTGCATGCGCTCCCACCCACCAGTGCATGCGCTCCCATGCACACGTGCCGGCACATGCATGCATGAGATGCATGGGGTGCATGGTGCATGGGTTGGGGAGGACGCAGGGCGCGACTGGGGGGTGGAGGAACGAAGGAATGACAGAGGAGTGCGGCGTGGTGGAGCGCGGCGAGCAGGTGGAGAGGAGACGGCGAGGGGGAATGTAGAAGCGGCGAGGAGGAGGGATGGGGCGATGGAAAAAGAGAAGGGGGAAGCAGGAGGGGAGGGGGAAAGCGGCGATGGGAGGGGGGAAACGGCGAGAAGAAGCGGGGAAGCGGCGAGGGGGGGGGGGGGCGCAAGCGCAAGAGCAGCAGGCAGCGGGGGCTCGAGCGGCTTGCCATCGTGCCTCCTCGCTCGTGGTGGCAGTAACGTGGAATGGGACCCTCCCTGTAACGGGAGCGGGTTACCAGGTTACCTGCAGGTAGAGCAGCGTGAGCGCGGCGTTCTGCACGTCCTCGTAGCTGTCGAGCCACGACAGGAAGAAGCCCTCCACAAACAGACGCGGCATGCCGCCCCTCCCTCCCCTCCTTCCCACTCCCCCTTTCCGCTGCGCGCCAAGAGTCCGCCTATGATTTAATCTCGTGCGCTACCTCGCGCCACACGGGGCATGCCGCCCGCCCCGCGCCCCCCGTCGCTGTTCGCCTCCGCAAGACGCTCTTCGCCTGAATCCGCTGCGACTCCACTCGCGTGCTCTCGCCGCTACGCGGCCTCTCGTCGATATCAGCGTCGCTAATGCTCGCAGCGCGTCGATGCCGCTCTACGGCTGCACGCCTCTAGCTGATCTTCATCGCGCTATGGGCTTCTCGGGAACGCCTACCATGCTTCGCTGGTCGGCCGCGCATCGTAGCGCGTGCGGGTGAATGAAATCCAAATTTCTCGAGAGACCTTCCCTCCCTCCGACTGAATCGAATTCGCGCTAGTTAAAATGATTGTAATAATTTAAACCTGAGTCAAGGCGTGTTCAGGGTGCCAGTGGGTTAGTAACAGAGTGGCACCCAGTTATCAGTTCGGTGCTGATCCGGTTTCAATTCCCGGCTGCACAGCTGTAAATATTTTGCTACGTCTATCTGTTCTCTCCGAACTTCGTTTCCTCGTGAAATCTTGTCTTGGCTTTTCGCTATCGTTATTTCGCTGCAAAATGCCACACACTGGGTCTTTGTTGTTCGTGTCATTCGGAATATCCGGAAACCAGTACATGGGCATGAAGCTGCTGGGTTCCAACTTCGCGGCACCCGATAAAATCCGCTGACCCGGAAGTCTGAACACGCCCTAACCCTAACTTTCGTGTCTTCAGTTCGACGCGCCTTCTGGCGTATACGACTCGCATCACTAGGTAGTTAATCGCAGCTCTTCCGTCATCCCTGTTGCAACCGTTTGTCTGCCCAGCCGTTGCTGAGCAGCGCCGTCACAGCTGCTCTTATCATGGTCGCGGCGGCAGCGGCGACCGCAACGATGAGCGTGACTGGTGTCGCTGCGCACTCGGCCGCGCAATCGCACACCGTCGCTCGCGTCGCCGCGTTGCGGTTGCCGGCTAGCAGCAGCACGCGCCAAATACGGAGCGACGTTTCCGCGATGGGCGCCGCTCGGTCCGCCTCCGACGCCGTGCGGCGGTGCGGCGAGCCGCGGCTGCTGCCGGCACGACGGGGGAGCATTGGCGCACGCGCTAGTGTTGAACAGCGCCACATGGCAGGTGCATGACGCAGCTGGCAGCATGTGACCTATTGTTCCCTTCCGATATCGCCCCCCTAGAGCAATCCCCAGTGAACTGTTCACAGGGCCAAAAGGGGGTTCTTCATTGGCGCAGCGCAGCGGATGCCTTTAGCCGTTCGTGTGAGCCCGCACGCATCACACTTCCGATCCTGCCCGCCCCAATTGCCTCTCCGTTCGACCTCCCGTCGCTCCTTCCCCCTTTCCCCTCCACCTCTCCGTCCTCCCGTGCGCCCCCTTCACAATGCTGCAATCGCGCGCGCCACCGCCACCCGCGTGGCGCCGCCGCGCTGCCGGCGAGCAGCGCATGCACCTCCCCTTCCTGCCCCACCCTCCACACCTCGCTCCCCCCTCCGTTCCTCCATCCCCTTCCCCGCCTTCCCCTCCGTTCCCCCATCCCCTTCCCTGCCTTTCCCCCGCAGCGGCGTCAGCACAAGCGGCGGACACAGCGGCCTTCTCGCAGGGCGGCTTCGAGCAGCTGCTGCCGGACCTGCAGGCCGCCATCTGTCACCAGGTCAGCTGCCGTGCCGTGCCGTGCCGTGACGTGACGTGCCGTGCCGTGCCGTGCCGTGCCGACAGGTGTGGAGGTGAGGTAAGGCGGTGACATGTGGTGAGGTGACGTCCTATGTGTCATCCCATAGCCGCTCTGTCTGCCCATCCCATCGTCCCACTCGCCCCTCCATCTCTCGCCCCTCCACGTCACGTCGGCCCTAACCCGCGTCACCTGCTCGCACCTGTGCCGCCACTCTCGCCACCCGCCCTGCCATCCCGCTCTCGTCTCTGCACTCATTGCTCCTTTCCCTCCCCCTGAAACCCCCCTTCCCCCACCGCCGCCACTATGGGCGGCAGTCAGCAGCGCGGGACGGCAGCGACAAGGCGTTGGTGGAGGAGCGGTGGGAGCGCGACCCCGGCAACCCGTGGGAGGGGTACGGCATCACACGTGGGCGGGGTACGGCATCACACGTGGGCGGGGTACGGCATCACACGTGGGCGGGGTACGGCATCACACGTGGGCGGGGTACGGCATCACACGTGGGAGGGGTACGGCATCACACGTGGGCGGGGTACGGCATCACACGTGGGCGGGGTACGGCATCACACGTGGGCGGGGTACGGCATCACACGTGGGAGGGGTACGGCATCACACGTGGGCGGGGTACGGCATCACACGTGGGCGGGGTACGGCATCACACGTGGGCGGGGTACGGCATCACACGTGGGCGGGGTACGGCATCACACGTGGGCGGGGTACGGCATCACACGTGGGCGGGGTACGGCATCACACGTGGGCGGGGTACGGCATCACACGTGGGCGGGGTACGGCATCACACGTGGGCGGGGTACGGCATCACACGTGGGCAGGGTACGGCATCACACGCGTGCTGGAGGGTGCCTACGTGCTCGACAAGGCCGCTGCCAACGTGTCCATCGTTAGGCGAGGGAGGCTGGGCACGACCACTATTTCCCACCCGGACAACTCCTCCTGTCCGTCCATTCCTCCATGCATGCATCGTTTTGTGCCCCTCTCTCCCCTTCTCGCTTCCAACGGTCGTTCCCCGGCACCTCCACCACATACCCCCCTCTCCCCCCACCTCTCCCCTTCCCCCCCTTTCCCCTCCGCCAGGCCATGAATGCGAGGCAGGGGAGGCAGCTGGCAGAGGGGACGGGGTACTTCGCCGGTGCGCTGTCGCTGGTGTTCCACTCCGCGCACCCGCTCATCCCCACCTTCCGCTCCGTGGGCTGCCATCCGCCACTTGCGGGTGGGCTGCCATCCGCCACTTGCGGGTGGGCTGCCATCCGCCACTTGCGGGTGGGCTGCCATCCGCCACTTGCGGGTGGGCTGCCATCCGCCACTTGCGGGTGGGCTGCCATCCGCCACTTGCGGGTGGGCTGCCATCCGCCACTTGCGGGTGGGCTGCCATCCGCCACTTGCGGGTGGGCTGCCATCCGCCACTTGCGGGTGGGCTGCCATCCGCCACTTGCGGGTGGGCTGCCATCCGCCACTTGCGGGTGGGCTGCCATCCGCCACTTGCGGGTGGGCTGCCATCCGCCACTTGCGGGTGGGCTGCCATCCGCCACTTGCGGGTGGGCTGCCATCCGCCACTTGCGGGTGGGCTGCCATCCGCCACTTGCGGGTGGGCTGCCATCCGCCACTTGCGGGTGGGCTGCCATCCGCCACTTGCGGGTGGGCTGCCATCCGCCACTTGCGGGTGGGCTGCCATCCGCCACTTGCGGGTGGGCTGCCATCCGCCACTTGCGGGTGGGCTGCCATCCGCCACTTGCGGGTGGGCTGCCATCCGCCACTTGCGGGTGGGCTGCCATCCGCCACTTGCGGGTGGGCTGCCATCCGCCACTTGCGGGTGGGCTGCCATCCGCCACTTGCGGGTGGGCTGCCATCCGCCACTTGCGGGTGGGCTGCCATCCGCCACTTGCGGGTGGGCTGCCATCCGCCACTTGCGGGTGGGCTGCCATCCGCCACTTGCGGGTGGGCTGCCATCCGCCACTTGCGGGTGGGCTGCCATCCGCCACTTGCGGGTGGGCTGCCATCCGCCACTTGCGGGTGGGCTGCCATCCGCCACTTGCGGGTGGGCTGCCATCCGCCACTTGCGGGTGGGCTGCCATCCGCCACTTGCGGGTGGGCTGCCATCCGCCACTTGCGGGTGGGCTGCCATCCGCCACTTGCGGGTGGGCTGCCATCCGCCACTTGCGGGTGGGCTGCCATCCGCCACTTGCGGGTGGGCTGCCATCCGCCACTTGCGGGTGGGCTGCCATCCGCCACTTGCGGGTGGGCTGCCATCCGCCACTTGCGGGTGGGCTGCCATCCGCCACTTGCGGGTGGGCTGCCATCCGCCACTTGCGGGTGGGCTGCCATCCGCCACTTGCGGGTGGGCTGCCATCCGCCACTTGCGGGTGGGCTGCCATCCGCCACTTGCGGGTGGGCTGCCATCCGCCACTTGCGGGTGGGCTGCCATCCGCCACTTGCGGGTGGGCTGCCATCCGCCACTTGCGGGTGGGCTGCCATCCGCCACTTGCGGGTGGGCTGCCATCCGCCACTTGCGGGTGGGCTGCCATCCGCCACTTGCGGGTGGGCTGCCATCCGCCACTTGCGGGTGGGCTGCCATCCGCCACTTGCGGGTGGGCTGCCATCCGCCACTTGCGGGTGGGCTGCCATCCGCCACTTGCGGGTGGGCTGCCATCCGCCACTTGCGGGTGGGCTGCCATCCGCCACTTGCGGGTGGGCTGCCATCCGCCACTTGCGGGTGGGCTGCCATCCGCCACTTGCGGGTGGGCTGCCATCCGCCACTTGCGGGTGGGCTGCCATCCGCCACTTGCGGGTGGGCTGCCATCCGCCACTTGCGGGTGGGCTGCCATCCGCCACTTGCGGGTGGGCTGCCATCCGCCACTTGCGGGTGGGCTGCCATCCGCCACTTGCGGGTGGGCTGCCATCCGCCACTTGCGGGTGGGCTGCCATCCGCCACTTGTCGGGTGGGCCCCCACTTGCGGGTGGGCTGCCATCCGCCACTTGCGGGTGGGCTGCCATCCGCCACTTGCGGGTGGGGCTGCCATCCGCCACTTGCGGGTGGGCTGCCATCCGCCACTTGCGGGTGGGCTGCCATCCGCCACTTGCGGGTGGGCTGCCATCCGCCACTTGCGGGTGGGCTGCCATCCGCCACTTGCGGGTGGGCTGCCATCCGCCACTTGCGGGTGGGCTGCCATCCGCCACTTGCGGGTGGGCTGCCATCCGCCACTTGCGGGTGGGCTGCCATCCGCCACTTGCGGGTGGGCTGCCATCCGCCACTTGCGGGTGGGCTGCCATCCGCCACTTGCGGGTGGGCTGCCATCCGCCACTTGCGGGTGGGCTGCCATCCGCCACTTGCGGGTGGGCTGCCATCCGCCACTTGCGGGTGGGCTGCCATCCGCCACTTGCGGGTGGGCTGCCATCCGCCACTTGCGGGTGGGCTGCCATCCGCCACTTGCGGGTGGGCTGCCATCCGCCACTTGCGGGTGGGCTGCCATCCGCCACTTGCGGGTGGGCTGCCATCCGCCACTTGCGGGTGGGCTGCCATCCGCCACTTGCGGGTGGGCTGCCATCCGCCACTTGCGGGTGGGCTGCCATCCGCCACTTGCGGGTGGGCTGCCATCCGCCACTTGCGGGTGGGCTGCCATCCGCCACTTGCGGGTGGGCTGCCATCCGCCACTTGCGGGTGGGCTGCCATCCGCCACTTGCGGGTGGGCTGCCATCCGCCACTTGCGGGTGGGCTGCCATCCGCCACTTGCGGGTGGGCTGCCATCCGCCACTTGCGGGTGGGCTGCCATCCGCCACTTGCGGGTGGGCTGCCATCCGCCACTTGCGGGTGGGCTGCCATCCGCCACTTGCGGGTGGGCTGCCATCCGCCACTTGCGGGTGGGCTGCCATCCGCCACTTGCGGGTGGGCTGCCATCCGCCACTTGCGGGTGGGCTGCCATCCGCCACTTGCGGGTGGGCTGCCATCCGCCACTTGCGGGTGGGCTGCCATCCGCCACTTGCGGGTGGGCTGCCATCCGCCACTTGCGGGTGGGCTGCCATCCGCCACTTGCGGGTGGGCTGCCATCCGCCACTTGCGGGTGGGCTGCCATCCGCCACTTGCGGGTGGGCTGCCATCCGCCACTTGCGGGTGGGCTGCCATCCGCCACTTGCGGGTGGGCTGCCATCCGCCACTTGCGGGTGGGCTGCCATCCGCCACTTGCGGGTGGGCTGCCATCCGCCACTTGCGGGTGGGCTGCCATCCGCCACTTGCGGGTGGGCTGCCATCCGCCACTTGCGGGTGGGCTGCCATCCGCCACTTGCGGGTGGGCTGCCATCCGCCACTTGCGGGTGGGCTGCCATCCGCCACTTGCGGGTGGGCTGCCATCCGCCACTTGCGGGTGGGCTGCCATCCGCCACTTGCGGGTGGGCTGCCATCCGCCACTTGCGGGTGGGCTGCCATCCGCCACTTGCGGGTGGGCTGCCATCCGCCACTTGCGGGTGGGCTGCCATCCGCCACTTGCGGGTGGGCTGCCATCCGCCACTTGCGGGTGGGCTGCCATCCGCCACTTGCGGGTGGGCTGCCATCCGCCACTTGCGGGTGGGCTGCCATCCGCCACTTGCGGGTGGGCTGCCATCCGCCACTTGCGGGTGGGCTGCCATCCGCCACTTGCGGGTGGGCTGCCATCCGCCACTTGCGGGTGGGCTGCCATCCGCCACTTGCGGGTGGGCTGCCATCCGCCACTTGCGGGTGGGCTGCCATCCGCCACTTGCGGGTGGGCTGCCATCCGCCACTTGCGGGTGGGCTGCCATCCGCCACTTGCGGGTGGGCTGCCATCCGCCACTTGCGGGTGGGCTGCCATCCGCCACTTGCGGGTGGGCTGCCATCCGCCACTTGCGGGTGGGCTGCCATCCGCCACTTGCGGGTGGGCTGCCATCCGCACTGCGGGTGGGCTGCCATCCGCCACTTGCGGGTGGGCTGCCATCCGCCACTTGCGGGTGGGCTGCCATCCGCCACTTGCGGGTGGGCTGCCATCCGCCACTTGCGGGTGGGCTGCCATCCGCCACTTGCGGGTGGGCTGCCATCCGCCACTTGCGGGTGGGCTGCCATCCGCCACTTGCGGGTGGGCTGCCATCCGCCACTTGCGGGTGGGCTGCCATCCGCCACTTGCGGGTGGGCTGCCATCCGCCACTTGCGGGTGGGCTGCCATCCGCCACTTGCGGGTGGGCTGCCATCCGCCACTTGCGGGTGGGCTGCCATCCGCCACTTGCGGGTGGGCTGCCATCCGCCACTTGCGGGTGGGCTGCCATCCGCCACTTGCGGGTGGGCTGCCATCCGCCACTTGCGGGTGGGCTGCCATCCGCCACTTGCGGGTGGGCTGCCATCCGCCACTTGCGGGTGGGCTGCCATCCGCCACTTGCGGGTGGGCTGCCATCCGCCACTTGCGGGTGGGCTGCCATCCGCCACTTGCGGGTGGGCTGCCATCCGCCACTTGCGGGTGGGCTGCCATCCGCCACTTGCGGGTGGGCTGCCATCCGCCACTTGCGGGTGGGCTGCCATCCGCCACTTGCGGGTGGGCTGCCATCCGCCACTTGCGGGTGGGCTGCCATCCGCCACTTGCGGGTGGGCTGCCATCCGCCACTTGCGGGTGGGCTGCCATCCGCCACTTGCGGGTGGGCTGCCATCCGCCACTTGCGGGTGGGCTGCCATCCGCCACTTGCGGGTGGGCTGCCATCCGCCACTTGCGGGTGGGCTGCCATCCGCCACTTGCGGGTGGGCTGCCATCCGCCACTTGCGGGTGGGCTGCCATCCGCCACTTGCGGGTGGGCTGCCATCCGCCACTTGCGGGTGGGCTGCCATCCGCCACTTGCGGGTGGGCTGCCATCCGCCACTTGCGGGTGGGCTGCCATCCGCCACTTGCGGGTGGGCTGCCATCCGCCACTTGCGGGTGGGCTGCCATCCGCCACTTGCGGGTGGGCTGCCATCCGCCACTTGCGGGTGGGCTGCCATCCGCCACTTGCGGGTGGGCTGCCATCCGCCACTTGCGGGTGGGCTGCCATCCGCCACTTGCGGGTGGGCTGCCATCCGCCACTTGCGGGTGGGCTGCCATCCGCCACTTGCGGGTGGGCTGCCATCCGCCACTTGCGGGTGGGCTGCCATCCGCCACTTGCGGGTGGGCTGCCATCCGCCACTTGCGGGTGGGCTGCCATCCGCCACTTGCGGGTGGGCTGCCATCCGCCACTTGCGGGTGGGCTGCCATCCGCCACTTGCGGGTGGGCTGCCATCCGCCACTTGCGGGTGGGCTGCCATCCGCCACTTGCGGGTGGGCTGCCATCCGCCACTTGCGGGTGGGCTGCCATCCGCCACTTGCGGGTGGGCTGCCATCCGCCACTTGCGGGTGGGCTGCCATCCGCCACTTGCGGGTGGGCTGCCATCCGCCACTTGCGGGTGGGCTGCCATCCGCCACTTGCGGGTGGGCTGCCATCCGCCACTTGCGGGTGGGCTGCCATCCGCCACTTGCGGGTGGGCTGCCATCCGCCACTTGCGGGTGGGCTGCCATCCGCCACTTGCGGGTGGGCTGCCATCCGCCACTTGCGGGTGGGCTGCCATCCGCCACTTGCGGGTGGGCTGCCATCCGCCACTTGCGGGTGGGCTGCCATCCGCCACTTGCGGGTGGGCTGCCATCCGCCACTTGCGGGTGGGCTGCCATCCGCCACTTGCGGGTGGGCTGCCATCCGGCCACTTGCGGGTGGGCTGCCATCCGCCACTTGCGGGTGGGCTGCCATCCGCCACTTGCGGGTGGGCTGCCATCCGCCACTTGCGGGTGGGCTGCCATCCGCCACTTGCGGGTGGGCTGCCATCCGCCACTTGCGGGTGGGCTGCCATCCGCCACTTGCGGGTGGGCTGCCATCCGCCACTTGCGGGTGGGCTGCCATCCGCCACTTGCGGGTGGGCTGCCATCCGCCACTTGCGGGTGGGCTGCCATCCGCCACTTGCGGGTGGGCTGCCATCCGCCACTTGCGGGTGGGCTGCCATCCGCCACTTGCGGGTGGGCTGCCATCCGCCACTTGCGGGTGGGCTGCCATCCGCCACTTGCGGGTGGGCTGCCATCCGCCACTTGCGGGTGGGCTGCCATCCGCCACTTGCGGGTGGGCTGCCATCCGCCACTTGCGGGTGGGCTGCCATCCGCCACTTGCGGGTGGGCTGCCATCCGCCACTTGCGGGTGGGCTGCCATCCGCCACTTGGGGCTCCATCCGCCACTTGCGGGTGGGCTGCCATCCGCCACTTGCGGGTGGGCTGCCATCCGCCACTTGCGGGTGGGCTGCCATCCGCCACTTGCGGGTGGGCTGCCATCCGCCACTTGCGGGTGGGCTGCCATCCGCCACTTGCGGGTGGGCTGCCATCCGCCACTTGCGGGTGGGCTGCCATCCGCCACTTGCGGGTGGGCTGCCATCCGCCACTTGCGGGTGGGCTGCCATCCGCCACTTGCGGGTGGGCTGCCATCCGCCACTTGCGGGTGGGCTGCCATCCGCCACTTGCGGGTGGGCTGCCATCCGCCACTTGCGGGTGGGCTGCCATCCGCCACTTGCGGGTGGGCTGCCATCCGCCACTTGCGGGTGGGCTGCCATCCGCCACTTGCGGGTGGGCTGCCATCCGCCACTTGCGGGTGGGCTGCCATCCGCCACTTGCGGGTGGGCTGCCATCCGCCACTTGCGGGTGGGCTGCCATCCGCCACTTGCGGGTGGGCTGCCATCCGCCACTTGCGGGTGGGCTGCCATCCGCCACTTGCGGGTGGGCTGCCATCCGCCACTTGCGGGTGGGCTGCCATCCGCCACTTGCGGGTGGGCTGCCATCCGCCACTTGCGGGTGGGCTGCCATCCGCCACTTGCGGGTGGGCTGCCATCCGCCACTTGCGGGTGGGCTGCCATCCGCCACTTGCGGGTGGGCTGCCATCCGCCACTTGCGGGTGGGCTGCCATCCGCCACTTGCGGGTGGGCTGCCATCCGCCACTTGCGGGTGGGCTGCCATCCGCCACTTGCGGGTGGGCTGCCATCCGCCACTTGCGGGTGGGCTGCCATCCGCCACTTGCGGGTGGGCTGCCATCCGCCACTTGCGGGTGGGCTGCCATCCGCCACTTGCGGGTGGGCTGCCATCCGCCACTTGCGGGTGGGCTGCCATCCGCCACTTGCGGGTGGGCTGCCATCCGCCACTTGCGGGTGGGCTGCCATCCGCCACTTGCGGGTGGGCTGCCATCCGCCACTTGCGGGTGGGCTGCCATCCGCCACTTGCGGGTGGGCTGCCATCCGCCACTTGCGGGTGGGCTGCCATCCGCCACTTGCGGGTGGGCTGCCATCCGCCACTTGCGGGTGGGCTGCCATCCGCCACTTGCGGGTGGGCTGCCATCCGCCACTTGCGGGTGGGCTGCCATCCGCCACTTGCGGGTGGGCTGCCATCCGCCACTTGCGGGTGGGCTGCCATCCGCCACTTGCGGGTGGGCTGCCATCCGCCACTTGCGGGTGGGCTGCCATCCGCCACTTGCGGGTGGGCTGCCATCCGCCACTTGCGGGTGGGCTGCCATCCGCCACTTGCGGGTGGGCTGCCATCCGCCACTTGCGGGTGGGCTGCCATCCGCCACTTGCGGGTGGGCTGCCATCCGCCACTTGCGGGTGGGCTGCCATCCGCCACTTGCGGGTGGGCTGCCATCCGCCACTTGCGGGTGGGCTGCCATCCGCCACTTGCGGGTGGGCTGCCATCCGCCACTTGCGGGTGGGCTGCCATCCGCCACTTGCGGGTGGGCTGCCATCCGCCACTTGCGGGTGGGCTGCCATCCGCCACTTGCGGGTGGGCTGCCATCCGCCACTTGCGGGTGGGCTGCCATCCGCCACTTGCGGGTGGGCTGCCATCCGCCACTTGCGGGTGGGCTGCCATCCGCCACTTGCGGGTGGGCTGCCATCCGCCACTTGCGGGTGGGCTGCCATCCGCCACTTGCGGGTGGGCTGCCATCCGCCACTTGCGGGTGGGCTGCCATCCGCCACTTGCGGGTGGGCTGCCATCCGCCACTTGCGGGTGGGCTGCCATCCGCCACTTGCGGGTGGGCTGCCATCCGCCACTTGCGGGTGGGCTGCCATCCGCCACTTGCGGGTGGGCTGCCATCCGCCACTTGCGGGTGGGCTGCCATCCGCCACTTGCGGGTGGGCTGCCATCCGCCACTTGCGGGTGGGCTGCCATCCGCCACTTGCGGGTGGGCTGCCATCCGCCACTTGCGGGTGGGCTGCCATCCGCCACTTGCGGGTGGGCTGCCATCCGCCACTTGCGGGTGGGCTGCCATCCGCCACTTGCGGGTGGGCTGCCATCCGCCACTTGCGGGTGGGCTGCCATCCGCCACTTGCGGGTGGGCTGCCATCCGCCACTTGCGGGTGGGCTGCCATCCGCCACTTGCGGGTGGGCTGCCATCCGCCACTTGCGGGTGGGCTGCCATCCGCCACTTGCGGGTGGGCTGCCATCCGCCACTTGCGGGTGGGCTGCCATCCGCCACTTGCGGGTGGGCTGCCATCCGCCACTTGCGGGTGGGCTGCCATCCGCCACTTGCGGGTGGGCTGCCATCCGCCACTTGCGGGTGGGCTGCCATCCGCCACTTGCGGGTGGGCTGCCATCCGCCACTTGCGGGTGGGCTGCCATCCGCCACTTGCGGGTGGGCTGCCATCCGCCACTTGCGGGTGGGCTGCCATCCGCCACTTGCGGGTGGGCTGCCATCCGCCACTTGCGGGTGGGCTGCCATCCGCCACTTGCGGGTGGGCTGCCATCCGCCACTTGCGGGTGGGCTGCCATCCGCCACTTGCGGGTGGGCTGCCATCCGCCACTTGCGGGTGGGCTGCCATCCGCCACTTGCGGGTGGGCTGCCATCCGCCACTTGCGGGTGGGCTGCCATCCGCCACTTGCGGGTGGGCTGCCATCCGCCACTTGCGGGTGGGCTGCCATCCGCCACTTGCGGGTGGGCTGCCATCCGCCACTTGCGGGTGGGCTGCCATCCGCCACTTGCGGGTGGGCTGCCATCCGCCACTTGCGGGTGGGCTGCCATCCGCCACTTGCGGGTGGGCTGCCATCCGCCACTTGCGGGTGGGCTGCCATCCGCCACTTGCGGGTGGGCTGCCATCCGCCACTTGCGGGTGGGCTGCCATCCGCCACTTGCGGGTGGGCTGCCATCCGCCACTTGCGGGTGGGCTGCCATCCGCCACTTGCGGGTGGGCTGCCATCCGCCACTTGCGGGTGGGCTGCCATCCGCCACTTGCGGGTGGGCTGCCATCCGCCACTTGCGGGTGGGCTGCCATCCGCCACTTGCGGGTGGGCTGCCATCCGCCACTTGCGGGTGGGCTGCCATCCGCCACTTGCGGGTGGGCTGCCATCCGCCACTTGCGGGTGGGCTGCCATCCGCCACTTGCGGGTGGGCTGCCATCCGCCACTTGCGGGTGGGCTGCCATCCGCCACTTGCGGGTGGGCTGCCATCCGCCACTTGCGGGTGGGCTGCCATCCGCCACTTGCGGGTGGGCTGCCATCCGCCACTTGCGGGTGGGCTGCCATCCGCCACTTGCGGGTGGGCTGCCATCCGCCACTTGCGGGTGGGCTGCCATCCGCCACTTGCGGGTGGGCTGCCATCCGCCACTTGCGGGTGGGCTGCCATCCGCCACTTGCGGGTGGGCTGCCATCCGCCACTTGCGGGTGGGCTGCCATCCGCCACTTGCGGGTGGGCTGCCATCCGCCACTTGCGGGTGGGCTGCCATCCGCCACTTGCGGGTGGGCTGCCATCCGCCACTTGCGGGTGGGCTGCCATCCGCCACTTGCGGGTGGGCTGCCATCCGCCACTTGCGGGTGGGCTGCCATCCGCCACTTGCGGGTGGGCTGCCATCCGCCACTTGCGGGTGGGCTGCCATCCGCCACTTGCGGGTGGGCTGCCATCCGCCACTTGCGGGTGGGCTGCCATCCGCCACTTGCGGGTGGGCTGCCATCCGCCACTTGCGGGTGGGCTGCCATCCGCCACTTGCGGGTGGGCTGCCATCCGCCACTTGCGGGTGGGGCTGCCATCCGCCACTTGCGGGTGGGCTGCCATCCGCCACTTGCGGGTGGGCTGCCATCCGCCACTTGCGGGTGGGCTGCCATCCGCCACTTGCGGGTGGGCTGCCATCCGCCACTTGCGGGTGGGCTGCCATCCGCCACTTGCGGGTGGGCTGCCATCCGCCACTTGCGGGTGGGCTGCCATCCGCCACTTGCGGGTGGGCTGCCATCCGCCACTTGCGGGTGGGCTGCCATCCGCCACTTGCGGGTGGGCTGCCATCCGCCACTTGCGGGTGGGCTGCCATCCGCCACTTGCGGGTGGGCTGCCATCCGCCACTTGCGGGTGGGCTGCCATCCGCCACTTGCGGGTGGGCTGCCATCCGCCACTTGCGGGTGGGCTGCCATCCGCCACTTGCGGGTGGGCTGCCATCCGCCACTTGCGGGTGGGCTGCCATCCGCCACTTGCGGGTGGGCTGCCATCCGCCACTTGCGGGTGGGCTGCCATCCGCCACTTCCGGTGGGCTGCCATCCGCCACTTGCGGGTGGGCTGCCATCCGCCACTTCCGGGTGGGCTGCCATCCGCCACTTCCGGGTGGGCTGCCATCCGCCACTTGCGGGTGGGCTGCCATCCGCCACTTGCGGGTGGGCTGCCATCCGCCACTTGCGGGTGGGCTGCCATCCGCCACTTGCGGGTGGGCTGCCATCCGCCACTTGCGGGTGGGCTGCCATCCGCCACTTGCGGGTGGGCTGCCATCCGCCACTTCCGGGTGGGCTGCCATCCGCCACTTCGGGTGGGCTGCCATCCGCCACTTGCGGGTGGGCTGCCATCCGCCACTTGCGGGTGGGCTGCCATCCGCCACTTGCCGGGTGGGCTGCCATCCGCCACTTGCGGGTGGGCTGCCATCCGCCACTTGCGGGTGGGCTGCCATCCGCCACTTGCGGGTGGGCTGCCATCCGCCACTTGCGGGTGGGCTGCCATCCGCCACTTCCGGGTGGGCTGCCATCCGCCACTTGCGGGTGGGCTGCCATCCGCCACTTGCGGGTGGGCTGCCATCCGCCACTTGCCGGGTGGGCTGCCATCCGCCACTTGCGGGTGGGCTGCCATCCGCCACTTGCGGGTGGGCTGCCATCCGCCACTTGCCGGGTGGGCTGCCATCCGCCACTTGCGGGTGGGCTGCCATCCGCCACTTGCCGGGTGGGCTGCCATCCGCCACTTGCCGGGTGGGCTGCCATCCGCCACTTGCCGGGTGGGCTGCCATCCGCCACTTCCGGGTGGGCTGCCATCCGCCACTTCCGGGTGGGCTGCCATCCGCCACTTGCGGGTGGGCTGCCATCCGCCACTTGCGGGTGGGCTGCCATCCGCCACTTGCGGGTGGGCTGCCATCCGCCACTTGCGGGTGGGCTGCCATCCGCCACTTCCGGGTGGGCTGCCATCCGCCACTTGCGGGTGGGCTGCCATCCGCCACTTGCGGGTGGGCTGCCATCCGCCACTTGCGGGTGGGCTGCCATCCGCCACTTGCGGGTGGGCTGCCATCCGCCACTTGCGGGTGGGCTGCCATCCGCCACTTGCGGGTGGGCTGCCATCCGCCACTTGCGGGTGGGCTGCCATCCGCCACTTCCGGGTGGGCTGCCATCCGCCACTTGCGGGTGGGCTGCCATCCGCCACTTGCGGGTGGGCTGCCATCCGCCACTTCCGGGTGGGCTGCCATCCGCCACTTGCGGGTGGGCTGCCATCCGCCACTTGCGGGTGGGCTGCCATCCGCCACTTGCGGGTGGGCTGCCATCCGCCACTTGCGGGTGGGCTGCCATCCGCCACTTGCCGGGTGGGCTGCCATCCGCCACTTGCGGGTGGGCTGCCATCCGCCACTTGCGGGTGGGCTGCCATCCGCCACTTGCGGGTGGGCTGCCATCCGCCACTTGCGGGTGGGCTGCCATCCGCCACTTGCGGGTGGGCTGCCATCCGCCACTTGCGGGTGGGCTGCCATCCGCCACTTGCGGGTGGGCTGCCATCCGCCACTTGCGGGTGGGCTGCCATCCGCCACTTGCGGGTGGGCTGCCATCCGCCACTTGCGGGTGGGCTGCCATCCGCCACTTGCGGGTGGGCTGCCATCCGCCACTTGCGGGTGGGCTGCCATCCGCCACTTGCGGGTGGGCTGCCATCCGCCACTTGCGGGTGGGCTGCCATCCGCCACTTGCGGGTGGGCTGCCATCCGCCACTTGCGGGTGGGCTGCCATCCGCCACTTGCGGGTGGGCTGCCATCCGCCACTTGCGGGTGGGCTGCCATCCGCCACTTGCGGGTGGGCTGCCATCCGCCACTTGCGGGTGGGCTGCCATCCGCCACTTGCGGGTGGGCTGCCATCCGCCACTTGCGGGTGGGCTGCCATCCGCCACTTGCGGGTGGGCTGCCATCCGCCACTTGCGGGTGGGCTGCCATCCGCCACTTGCGGGTGGGCTGCCATCCGCCACTTGCGGGTGGGCTGCCATCCGCCACTTGCGGGTGGGCTGCCATCCGCCACTTGCGGGTGGGCTGCCATCCGCCACTTGCGGGTGGGCTGCCATCCGCCACTTGCGGGTGGGCTGCCATCCGCCACTTGCGGGTGGGCTGCCATCCGCCACTTGCGGGTGGGCTGCCATCCGCCACTTGCGGGTGGGCTGCCATCCGCCACTTGCGGGTGGGCTGCCATCCGCCACTTGCGGGTGGGCTGCCATCCGCCACTTGCGGGTGGGCTGCCATCCGCCACTTGCGGGTGGGCTGCCATCCGCCACTTGCGGGTGGGCTGCCATCCGCCACTTGCCGGGTGGGCTGCCATCCGCCACTTGCCGGGTGGGCTGCCATCCGCCACTTGCGGGTGGGCTGCCATCCGCCACTTGCGGGTGGGCTGCCATCCGCCACTTGCGGGTGGGCTGCCATCCGCCACTTGCGGGTGGGCTGCCACTTGCGGTGGGCTGCCATCCGCCACTTGCGGGTGGGCTGCCATCCGCCACTTGCGGGTGGGCTGCCATCCGCCACTTGCGGGTGGGCTGCCATCCGCCACTTCCGGGTGGGCTGCCATCCGCCACTTGCGGGTGGGCTGCCATCCGCCACTTGCGGGTGGGCTGCCATCCGCCACTTGCCGGGTGGGCTGCCATCCGCCACTTGCGGGTGGGCTGCCATCCGCCACTTCCGGGTGGGCTGCCATCCGCCACTTGCGGGTGGGCTGCCATCCGCCACTTGCGGGTGGGCTGCCATCCGCCACTTGCGGGTGGGCTGCCATCCGCCACTTGCGGGTGGGCTGCCATCCGCCACTTCCGGGTGGGCTGCCATCCGCCACTTGCGGGTGGGCTGCCATCCGCCACTTGCGGGTGGGCTGCCATCCGCCACTTGCCGGGTGGGCTGCCATCCGCCACTTCCGGGTGGGCTGCCATCCGCCACTTGCGGGTGGGCTGCCATCCGCCACTTGCGGGTGGGCTGCCATCCGCCACTTGCGGGTGGGCTGCCATCCGCCACTTCCGGGTGGGCTGCCATCCGCCACTTGCGGGTGGGCTGCCATCCGCCACTTCCGGGTGGGCTGCCATCCGCCACTTCCGGGTGGGCTGCCATCCGCCACTTCCGGGTGGGCTGCCATCCGCCACTTCCGGGTGGGCTGCCATCCGCCACTTCCGGGTGGGCTGCCATCCGCCACTTCCGGGTGGGCTGCCATCCGCCACTTCCGGGTGGGCTGCCATCCGCCACTTGCGGGTGGGCTGCCATCCGCCACTTCCGGGTGGGCTGCCATCCGCCACTTGCGGGTGGGCTGCCATCCGCCACTTCCGGGTGGGCTGCCATCCGCCACTTCCGGGTGGGCTGCCATCCGCCACTTGCGGGTGGGCTGCCATCCGCCACTTCCGGGTGGGCTGCCATCCGCCACTTGCGGGTGGGCTGCCATCCGCCACTTCCGGGTGGGCTGCCATCCGCCACTTCCGGGTGGGCTGCCATCCGCCACTTCCGGGTGGGCTGCCATCCGCCACTTCCGGGTGGGCTGCCATCCGCCACTTCCGGGTGGGCTGCCATCCGCCACTTGCGGGTGGGCTGCCATCCGCCACTTGCGGGTGGGCTGCCATCCGCCACTTGCGGGTGGGCTGCCATCCGCCACTTCCGGGTGGGCTGCCATCCGCCACTTGCGGGTGGGCTGCCATCCGCCACTTCGGGTGGGCTGCCATCCGCCACTTCCGGGTGGGCTGCCATCCGCCACTTGCGGGTGGGCTGCCATCCGCCACTTCCGGGTGGGCTGCCATCCGCCACTTGCGGGTGGGCTGCCATCCGCCACTTGCGGGTGGGCTGCCATCCGCCACTTGCGGGTGGGCTGCCATCCGCCACTTGCGGGTGGGCTGCCATCCGCCACTTCCGGGTGGGCTGCCATCCGCCACTTGCGGGTGGGCTGCCATCCGCCACTTGCGGGTGGGCTGCCATCCGCCACTTCCGGGTGGGCTGCCATCCGCCACTTGCGGGTGGGCTGCCATCCGCCACTTGCGGGTGGGCTGCCATCCGCCACTTGCGGGTGGGCTGCCATCCGCCACTTGCGGGTGGGCTGCCATCCGCCACTTGCGGGTGGGCTGCCATCCGCCACTTGCGGGTGGGCTGCCATCCGCCACTTGCGGGTGGGCTGCCATCCGCCACTTGCGGGTGGGCTGCCATCCGCCACTTGCGGGTGGGCTGCCATCCGCCACTTGCGGGTGGGCTGCCATCCGCCACTTGCGGGTGGGCTGCCATCCGCCACTTGCGGGTGGGCTGCCATCCGCCACTTGCGGGTGGGCTGCCATCCGCCACTTGCGGGTGGGCTGCCATCCGCCACTTGCGGGTGGGCTGCCATCCGCCACTTGCGGGTGGGCTGCCATCCGCCACTTGCGGGTGGGCTGCCATCCGCCACTTGCGGGTGGGCTGCCATCCGCCACTTGCGGGTGGGCTGCCATCCGCCACTTGCGGGTGGGCTGCCATCCGCCACTTGCGGGTGGGCTGCCATCCGCCACTTGCGGGTGGGCTGCCATCCGCCACTTGCGGGTGGGCTGCCATCCGCCACTTGCGGGTGGGCTGCCATCCGCCACTTGCGGGTGGGCTGCCATCCGCCACTTGCGGGTGGGCTGCCATCCGCCACTTGCGGGTGGGCTGCCATCCGCCACTTGCGGGTGGGCTGCCATCCGCCACTTGCGGGTGGGCTGCCATCCGCCACTTGCGGGTGGGCTGCCATCCGCCACTTGCGGGTGGGCTGCCATCCGCCACTTGCGGGTGGGCTGCCATCCGCCACTTGCGGGTGGGCTGCCATCCGCCACTTGCGGGTGGGCTGCCATCCGCCACTTGCGGGTGGGCTGCCATCCGCCACTTGCGGGTGGGCTGCCATCCGCCACTTGCGGGTGGGCTGCCATCCGCCACTTCCGGGTGGGCTGCCATCCGCCACTTCCGGGTGGGCTGCCATCCGCCACTTCCGGGTGGGCTGCCATCCGCCACTTCCGGGTGGGCTGCCATCCGCCACTTCCGGGTGGGCTGCCATCCGCCACTTCCGGGTGGGCTGCCATCCGCCACTTCCGGGTGGGCTGCCATCCGCCACTTCCGGGTGGGCTGCCATCCGCCACTTCCGGGTGGGCTGCCATCCGCCACTTCCGGGTGGGCTGCCATCCGCCACTTCCGGGTGGGCTGCCATCCGCCACTTCCGGGTGGGCTGCCATCCGCCACTTCCGGGTGGGCTGCCATCCGCCACTTCCGGGTGGGCTGCCATCCGCCACTTCCGGGTGGGCTGCCATCCGCCACTTCCGGGTGGGCTGCCATCCGCCACTTCCGGGTGGGCTGCCATCCGCCACTTGCGGGTGGGCTGCCATCCGCCACTTGCGGGTGGGCTGCCATCCGCCACTTCCGGGTGGGCTGCCATCCGCCACTTCCGGGTGGGCTGCCATCCGCCACTTGCGGGTGGGCTGCCATCCGCCACTTCCGGGTGGGCTGCCATCCGCCACTTCCGGGTGGGCTGCCATCCGCCACTTGCGGGTGGGCTGCCATCCGCCACTTGCGGGTGGGCTGCCATCCGCCACTTCCGGGTGGGCTGCCATCCGCCACTTCCGGGTGGGCTGCCATCCGCCACTTCCGGGTGGGCTGCCATCCGCCACTTGCGGGTGGGCTGCCATCCGCCACTTCCGGGTGGGCTGCCATCCGCCACTTGCGGGTGGGCTGCCATCCGCCACTTGCGGGTGGGCTGCCATCCGCCACTTCCGGGTGGGCTGCCATCCGCCACTTGCGGGTGGGCTGCCATCCGCCACTTGCGGGTGGGCTGCCATCCGCCACTTGCGGGTGGGCTGCCATCCGCCACTTCCGGGTGGGCTGCCATCCGCCACTTGCGGGTGGGCTGCCATCCGCCACTTGCGGGTGGGCTGCCATCCGCCACTTCCGGGTGGGCTGCCATCCGCCACTTCCGGGTGGGCTGCCATCCGCCACTTCCGGGTGGGCTGCCATCCGCCACTTGCGGGTGGGCTGCCATCCGCCACTTGCGGGTGGGCTGCCATCCGCCACTTCCGGGTGGGCTGCCATCCGCCACTTGCGGGTGGGCTGCCATCCGCCACTTCCGGGTGGGCTGCCATCCGCCACTTCCGGGTGGGCTGCCATCCGCCACTTCCGGGTGGGCTGCCATCCGCCACTTGCGGGTGGGCTGCCATCCGCCACTTCCGGGTGGGCTGCCATCCGCCACTTCCGGGTGGGCTGCCATCCGCCACTTCCGGGTGGGCTGCCATCCGCCACTTGCGGGTGGGCTGCCATCCGCCACTTGCGGGTGGGCTGCCATCCGCCACTTCCGGGTGGGCTGCCATCCGCCACTTCCGGGTGGGCTGCCATCCGCCACTTGCGGGTGGGCTGCCATCCGCCACTTGCGGGTGGGCTGCCATCCGCCACTTGCGGGTGGGCTGCCATCCGCCACTTGCGGGTGGGCTGCCATCCGCCACTTGCGGGTGGGCTGCCATCCGCCACTTGCGGGTGGGCTGCCATCCGCCACTTGCGGGTGGGCTGCCATCCGCCACTTGCGGGTGGGCTGCCATCCGCCACTTGCGGGTGGGCTGCCATCCGCCACTTGCGGGTGGGCTGCCATCCGCCACTTGCGGGTGGGCTGCCATCCGCCACTTGCGGGTGGGCTGCCATCCGCCACTTGCGGGTGGGCTGCCATCCGCCACTTGCGGGTGGGCTGCCATCCGCCACTTGCGGGTGGGCTGCCATCCGCCACTTGCGGGTGGGCTGCCATCCGCCACTTGCGGGTGGGCTGCCATCCGCCACTTGCGGGTGGGCTGCCATCCGCCACTTGCGGGTGGGCTGCCATCCGCCACTTGCGGGTGGGCTGCCATCCGCCACTTCCGGGTGGGCTGCCATCCGCCACTTCCGGGTGGGCTGCCATCCGCCACTTCCGGGTGGGCTGCCATCCGCCACTTCCGGGTGGGCTGCCATCCGCCACTTCCGGGTGGGCTGCCATCCGCCACTTGCGGGTGGGCTGCCATCCGCCACTTCCGGGTGGGCTGCCATCCGCCACTTCCGGGTGGGCTGCCATCCGCCACTTGCGGGTGGGCTGCCATCCGCCACTTGCGGGTGGGCTGCCATCCGCCACTTGCGGGTGGGCTGCCATCCGCCACTTCCGGGTGGGCTGCCATCCGCCACTTCCGGGTGGGCTGCCATCCGCCACTTCCGGGTGGGCTGCCATCCGCCACTTCCGGGTGGGCTGCCATCCGCCACTTCCGGGTGGGCTGCCATCCGCCACTTCCGGGTGGGCTGCCATCCGCCACTTCCGGGTGGGCTGCCATCCGCCACTTCCGGGTGGGCTGCCATCCGCCACTTCCGGGTGGGCTGCCATCCGCCACTTGCGGGTGGGCTGCCATCCGCCACTTCCGGGTGGGCTGCCATCCGCCACTTCCGGGTGGGCTGCCATCCGCCACTTCCGGGTGGGCTGCCATCCGCCACTTCCGGGTGGGCTGCCATCCGCCACTTGCGGGTGGGCTGCCATCCGCCACTTCCGGGTGGGCTGCCATCCGCCACTTCCGGGTGGGCTGCCATCCGCCACTTCCGGGTGGGCTGCCATCCGCCACTTCCGGGTGGGCTGCCATCCGCCACTTCCGGGTGGGCTGCCATCCGCCACTTCCGGGTGGGCTGCCATCCGCCACTTCCGGGTGGGCTGCCATCCGCCACTTCCGGGTGGGCTGCCATCCGCCACTTCCGGGTGGGCTGCCATCCGCCACTTCCGGGTGGGCTGCCATCCGCCACTTGCGGGTGGGCTGCCATCCGCCACTTCCGGGTGGGCTGCCATCCGCCACTTGCGGGTGGGCTGCCATCCGCCACTTGCGGGTGGGCTGCCATCCGCCACTTGCGGGTGGGCTGCCATCCGCCACTTCCGGGTGGGCTGCCATCCGCCACTTGCGGGTGGGCTGCCATCCGCCACTTCCGGGTGGGCTGCCATCCGCCACTTGCGGGTGGGCTGCCATCCGCCACTTGCGGGTGGGCTGCCATCCGCCACTTGCGGGTGGGCTGCCATCCGCCACTTGCGGGTGGGCTGCCATCCGCCACTTGCGGGTGGGCTGCCATCCGCCACTTGCGGGTGGGCTGCCATCCGCCACTTCCGGGTGGGCTGCCATCCGCCACTTGCGGGTGGGCTGCCATCCGCCACTTCCGGGTGGGCTGCCATCCGCCACTTCCGGGTGGGCTGCCATCCGCCACTTCCGGGTGGGCTGCCATCCGCCACTTCCGGGTGGGCTGCCATCCGCCACTTCCGGGTGGGCTGCCATCCGCCACTTCCGGGTGGGCTGCCATCCGCCACTTCCGGGTGGGCTGCCATCCGCCACTTCCGGGTGGGCTGCCATCCGCCACTTCCGGGTGGGCTGCCATCCGCCACTTCCGGGTGGGCTGCCATCCGCCCAGTGGGCTGCCTCCCGCTTCCGGGTGGGCTGCCATCCGCCACTTCCGGGTGGGCTGCCATCCGCCACTTCCGGGTGGGCTGCCATCCGCCACTTCCGGGTGGGCTGCCATCCGCCACTTCCGGGTGGGCTGCCATCCGCCACTTCCGGGTGGGCTGCCATCCGCCACTTCCGGGTGGGCTGCCATCCGCCACTTCCGGGTGGGCTGCCATCCGCCACTTCCGGGTGGGCTGCCATCCGCCACTTCCGGGTGGGCTGCCATCCGCCACTTCCGGGTGGGCTGCCATCCGCCACTTCCGGGTGGGCTGCCATCCGCCACTTCCGGGTGGGCTGCCATCCGCCACTTCCGGGTGGGCTGCCATCCGCCACTTCCGGGTGGGCTGCCATCCGCCACTTGCGGGTGGGCTGCCATCCGCCACTTCCGGGTGGGCTGCCATCCGCCACTTCCGGGTGGGCTGCCATCCGCCACTTCCGGGTGGGCTGCCATCCGCCACTTCCGGGTGGGCTGCCATCCGCCACTTCCGGGTGGGCTGCCATCCGCCACTTCCGGGTGGGCTGCCATCCGCCACTTCCGGGTGGGCTGCCATCCGCCACTTCCGGGTGGGCTGCCATCCGCCACTTCCGGGTGGGCTGCCATCCGCCACTTCCGGGTGGGCTGCCATCCGCCACTTCCGGGTGGGCTGCCATCCGCCACTTCCGGGTGGGCTGCCATCCGCCACTTCCGGGTGGGCTGCCATCCGCCACTTCCGGGTGGGCTGCCATCCGCCACTTCCGGGTGGGCTGCCATCCGCCACTTCCGGGTGGGCTGCCATCCGCCACTTCCGGGTGGGCTGCCATCCGCCACTTCCGGGTGGGCTGCCATCCGCCACTTCCGGGTGGGCTGCCATCCGCCACTTCCGGGTGGGCTGCCATCCGCCACTTCCGGGTGGGCTGCCATCCGCCACTTCCGGGTGGGCTGCCATCCGCCACTTCCGGGTGGGCTGCCATCCGCCACTTCCGGGTGGGCTGCCATCCGCCACTTGCGGGTGGGCTGCCATCCGCCACTTCCGGGTGGGCTGCCATCCGCCACTTGCGGGTGGGCTGCCATCCGCCACTTGCGGGTGGGCTGCCATCCGCCACTTGCGGGTGGGCTGCCATCCGCCACTTCCGGGTGGGCTGCCATCCGCCACTTGCGGGTGGGCTGCCATCCGCCACTTCCGGGTGGGCTGCCATCCGCCACTTGCGGGTGGGCTGCCATCCGCCACTTGCGGGTGGGCTGCCATCCGCCACTTGCGGGTGGGCTGCCATCCGCCACTTGCGGGTGGGCTGCCATCCGCCACTTGCGGGTGGGCTGCCATCCGCCACTTCCGGGTGGGCTGCCATCCGCCACTTGCGGGTGGGCTGCCATCCGCCACTTGCGGGTGGGCTGCCATCCGCCACTTGCGGGTGGGCTGCCATCCGCCACTTCCGGGTGGGCTGCCATCCGCCACTTCCGGGTGGGCTGCCATCCGCCACTTCCGGGTGGGCTGCCATCCGCCACTTCCGGGTGGGCTGCCATCCGCCACTTCCGGGTGGGCTGCCATCCGCCACTTCCGGGTGGGCTGCCATCCGCCACTTCCGGGTGGGCTGCCATCCGCCACTTCCGGGTGGGCTGCCATCCGCCACTTCCGGGTGGGCTGCCATCCGCCACTTCCGGGTGGGCTGCCATCCGCCACTTCCGGGTGGGCTGCCATCCGCCACTTCCGGGTGGGCTGCCATCCGCCACTTCCGGGTGGGCTGCCATCCGCCACTTCCGGGTGGGCTGCCATCCGCCACTTCCGGGTGGGCTGCCATCCGCCACTTCCGGGTGGGCTGCCATCCGCCACTTCCGGGTGGGCTGCCATCCGCCACTTCCGGGTGGGCTGCCATCCGCCACTTCCGGGTGGGCTGCCATCCGCCACTTCCGGGTGGGCTGCCATCCGCCACTTCCGGTGGGCTGCCATCCGCCACTTCCGGGTGGGCTGCCATCCGCCACTTCCGGGTGGGCTGCCATCCGCCACTTCCGGGTGGGCTGCCATCCGCCACTTCCGGGTGGGCTGCCATCCGCCACTTCCGGGTGGGCTGCCATCCGCCACTTCCGGGTGGGCTGCCATCCGCCACTTCCGGGTGGGCTGCCATCCGCCACTTCCGGGTGGGCTGCCATCCGCCACTTCCGGGTGGGCTGCCATCCGCCACTTCCGGGTGGGCTGCCATCCGCCACTTCCGGGTGGGCTGCCATCCGCCACTTCCGGGTGGGCTGCCATCCGCCACTTCCGGGTGGGCTGCCATCCGCCACTTCCGGGTGGGCTGCCATCCGCCACTTCCGGGTGGGCTGCCATCCGCCACTTCCGGGTGGGCTGCCATCCGCCACTTCCGGGTGGGCTGCCATCCGCCACTTCCGGGTGGGCTGCCATCCGCCACTTCCGGGTGGGCTGCCATCCGCCACTTCCGGGTGGGCTGCCATCCGCCACTTCCGGGTGGGCTGCCATCCGCCACTTCCGGGTGGGCTGCCATCCGCCACTTCCGGGTGGGCTGCCATCCGCCACTTCCGGGTGGGCTGCCATCCGCCACTTCCGGGTGGGCTGCCATCCGCCACTTCCGGGTGGGCTGCCATCCGCCACTTCCGGGTGGGCTGCCATCCGCCACTTCCGGGTGGGCTGCCATCCGCCACTTCCGGGTGGGCTGCCATCCGCCACTTCCGGGTGGGCTGCCATCCGCCACTTCCGGGTGGGCTGCCATCCGCCACTTCCGGGTGGGCTGCCATCCGCCACTTCCGGGTGGGCTGCCATCCGCCACTTCCGGGTGGGCTGCCATCCGCCACTTCCGGGTGGGCTGCCATCCGCCACTTCCGGGTGGGCTGCCATCCGCCACTTCCGGGTGGGCTGCCATCCGCCACTTCCGGGTGGGCTGCCATCCGCCACTTCCGGGTGGGCTGCCATCCGCCACTTCCGGGTGGGCTGCCATCCGCCACTTCCGGGTGGGCTGCCATCCGCCACTTCCGGGTGGGCTGCCATCCGCCACTTCCGGGTGGGCTGCCATCCGCCACTTCCGGGTGGGCTGCCATCCGCCACTTGCGGGTGGGCTGCCATCCGCCACTTGCGGGTGGGCTGCCATCCGCCACTTCCGGGTGGGCTGCCATCCGCCACTTGCGGGTGGGCTGCCATCCGCCACTTCCGGGTGGGCTGCCATCCGCCACTTGCGGGTGGGCTGCCATCCGCCACTTGCGGGTGGGCTGCCATCCGCCACTTCCGGGTGGGCTGCCATCCGCCACTTCCGGGTGGGCTGCCATCCGCCACTTGCGGGTGGGCTGCCATCCGCCACTTGCGGGTGGGCTGCCATCCGCCACTTGCGGGTGGGCTGCCATCCGCCACTTGCGGGTGGGCTGCCATCCGCCACTTCCGGGTGGGCTGCCATCCGCCACTTGCGGGTGGGCTGCCATCCGCCACTTGCGGGTGGGCTGCCATCCGCCACTTGCGGGTGGGCTGCCATCCGCCACTTGCGGGTGGGCTGCCATCCGCCACTTGCGGGTGGGCTGCCATCCGCCACTTCCGGGTGGGCTGCCATCCGCCACTTCCGGGTGGGCTGCCATCCGCCACTTCCGGGTGGGCTGCCATCCGCCACTTCCGGGTGGGCTGCCATCCGCCACTTGCGGGTGGGCTGCCATCCGCCACTTGCGGGTGGGCTGCCATCCGCCACTTGCGGGTGGGCTGCCATCCGCCACTTGCGGGTGGGCTGCCATCCGCCACTTGCGGGTGGGCTGCCATCCGCCACTTCCGGGTGGGCTGCCATCCGCCACTTGCGGGTGGGCTGCCATCCGCCACTTCCGGGTGGGCTGCCATCCGCCACTTGCGGGTGGGCTGCCATCCGCCACTTCCGGGTGGGCTGCCATCCGCCACTTCCGGGTGGGCTGCCATCCGCCACTTCCGGGTGGGCTGCCATCCGCCACTTCCGGGTGGGCTGCCATCCGCCACTTCCGGGTGGGCTGCCATCCGCCACTTCCGGGTGGGCTGCCATCCGCCACTTCCGGGTGGGCTGCCATCCGCCACTTCCGGGTGGGCTGCCATCCGCCACTTCCGGGTGGGCTGCCATCCGCCACTTCCGGGTGGGCTGCCATCCGCCACTTCCGGGTGGGCTGCCATCCGCCACTTCCGGGTGGGCTGCCATCCGCCACTTCCGGGTGGGCTGCCATCCGCCACTTCCGGGTGGGCTGCCATCCGCCACTTCCGGGTGGGCTGCCATCCGCCACTTCCGGGTGGGCTGCCATCCGCCACTTCCGGGTGGGCTGCCATCCGCCACTTCCGGGTGGGCTGCCATCCGCCACTTCCGGGTGAGCTGTACGTTTCCAAACCCGCAAGCAGCGTCTCCCCCGGTTGGAGAGGGAGGAGCGTGAGCGGTTTGAGAGGGCACGACAACAGCAGCAGTAGCAAGAGGATCAGTCTCAGTTGCAGCGTCAAGAGAGGGTAGAGGAAGAGCCACAGCCACAGAAGGAGAGAGTAGAGGAGGAATCACGGCCACGGCAGGGGAGAGCAGAGGAGGGGTCACGACTGCAGCAGCAGGTGCAGTTGCAGCCGCAACAGGAGTGAGTAGAGGAGTCAAGAGTGCAGCAGCAGGTGCAGTTGCAGTCGCAGCACGAGAGAGTAGAGGAGGAGTCACGGCCGCAGCAAGAGAGGGTAGAGCAGGCGTCCCGCGTGTAGCAGCAGGTGCAGTTGCAGACACAATAGGAGAGAGTAGAGGAGGAGTCACGGCCGCAGCAGGAGAGGGTCGCGCAGGAGTCCCGGTCGCAGCAGCACCGTAGCAAGAGAGGGCAGAGGAGGAGCCACAGGAGCAGCAGTAGGGGCAGGTGCCATCGCAGCGGACGCCAGAGGAGGCGGAGAAGCAGCAACTGCGCAACCCGCCCGACCCGCCACCTGCACCTTTGGTTCGTGGTCCTCTACCATCCCCTCTTGTTCCCCTTGTCGGGTCCCTTTCCTCGTCCCCGTGGACTTGTCGTTCTCCGCTCAATCGTGTTGTGTCTCTAGAGCCTCGTCGGTCCCGTTACCGTGCGGATGGGCCGTTTCACCTTGTTCTCCGCTCTTGTGTTCCACCTCCTCCTGTTCTTCCATAGCCTCCTGAGTCGTCCCTCACTGTGTTTTGCGGCCCCTTTTCCGACTACCTCTGTGCCTCCCGTCCTGTCGTCTCCTGTGTTTTGTCCTCGTTGGTCACTCACCTGACTGCCCCCCCGTTGTCTGTCTTGGCTCTTGTTACCACTGTCGCTGGCTTTGCCTCTTCCCACCACCTTGACTACGCCGCTCACCTGGTGAGTGGCCCTTCTCGTTCTCCATCCTCTGGGGGTGATCCTGTCTTTCCCCTGGAGTTCCTTTAGGACAGGCAGTTTGAGCTTGGTTTCCTTGAGGCCAATGTTCCTCATCTCTGCGCCATGCTGCTCACCCCTGAGGGGGATCCAGACGCCCTTGACATCGCAATCCCTCGCACTCATGCTGAGGTGGTCTCTGGACTCTGGGCTTTGGTCTGGATAGCAGAAGAGTAGGCAAATATGGCATCTTACAAGCCCACTAGCACCTACGTCGACGCCATCTCACCACTTGGGACGAACGTCGTGAATGGCATGTGGCTCTACAAGGTGAAGCGACTGCCTTGATCACCACCGGTGTTCAAGGCGCACTATGTGGCGAGAAACTTCTTCTAGACCTTCGCTCCCACTGCGAAGATGACCACTCTTCGGGTGTTGCTGCATATAGCAGCTCAGCGCGAATACGAGTTGCACCTTCTTAGACTTATCCACAGCGTTTCTACAGGGGAGCCTGCATGAGCAGATCTGGCTGCGTCGTCCATCTGGCTTCACTGGCTCCTCCCCTCGAGTTGCACCCCTTGGACTTCTTCACAGCGTTTCTACAGGGGAGTCTGCACTAGCAGATCTGGCTTCGTTGTCTGTCTGGCTTCACTGGCTCTTTCCATCCTGAGACCCAGTGGTAGTTGCGTCGACCGGTCTACGGCCTGCGCCAGGCTCCCCGTGAGTGGCATGACACACTTTGCACGACTCTTGCAGCGCTTGACTTCTTTCCGTCCTCTGCTCACACGTCGCTGTTCGTCCGTCGTGGGTCGACCCCGTTCTTTGTTCTGGTTTACGTTCACGACCTGGTCTTTGCCACTCCAGACCGACGCGCACTGGCCTCCGTGAAGGAGGAACTGTAGTGGAGACACACTTGCACTGACCTTGGTGAGCTACGACGCTTCCTTGGCCTGCAGATCACCAGGGACAGGGGAGCTCGCACCATTACGCTGACGCAGTCGCATATGGTCGAGCAGATCCTCACGAGGTTTCGCTTCCCATTCTCCAAGGTACTGCTCACCCCTCTTGCTGTGTATCATGGTCTCACGGCACCCCTTCGGACGAGCCATTTGAGTCCAGCGGTCCATATCCTGAGTTGGTCGGTTGTCTCATGTACCTGATGACCTATTCTTGCCCTGACCTAGCTTACCCTCTTAGCGTCCTGGCACGCTTAGTTGCACCTGGGAAACACCAACCTTACCATTGGTACGTGGATAAGATGGTGGCATAGTAACCCATCTTTCTGATCGGCTCTCATCGGCACGCGACGCTAAGTACCCCACTGATCTCACCATCAACCTTATCGAGACTAGGCTCAACAAGATCAAGAACCGCACTCGCTCCATCTCCACTGCTATTGGTGCAGTTTCCGCCACCCCTTTGCGGGGTGTTCTCGTCCCCAGCTCCCTAGTTTTACTACCTCCCTTGTTGCCGCTGAGTCTTCTCCCACCTGGGAGACAGTGGCCATTGTTGCCTCTAGTGGGCATCGGTGTGGCAAGGGAGGCAAGAAGGGTGAGAAGGGTGGCGGAGGTGGCGAAGGTGGGAGGTGGTTGGGGTGCTGGTGTGTTAGGGGGAGCCGACATTGGAGACGGTGCCGAGGCTGCAAGGCAGGCTGGAGGAGGTGCTGGTCCTGTGAGTGTAGCGGGGGCACAGCAATAGCAGCTGCAGCCATAGCAGGTCCGGCAGAGGGCCCCTCAGTAGCAGTGGAGATCTGGTGGTCCTTGGAGCGTCGCCGGTTTGGCGGTCCTGACAGCTGGGGGGCACTCCGCCGCGACACCGGGCCCTGCCAGTACCGGCTCCTTGCTGGCCCGGGTGCTGGCACTGTCTACAGGTGTCTCGACCACTCGGTTGTGCGCTGCTTCCTCTACCACGACTGCTTTGGGCTACAGACGGTTCCCCCACACTGGCCCTCCCAGGTGAGTCATGGTTTCCCTGTTTTTACCCTCGCAGAGGTACCCCGGTACCCCTCCCTACCCTCATCCTCACTCCCTCTCCTCCTCCTGGCCCTGCTCCTTCCGAAGTCCTAAACCCACCACCCCCTCCAACTTTCCCCCGTCTCCCCCCTTCCCCCCAACAGTCGTCCTCCCAATCGCCGCAGCAGCCTTCGGTGGAGTCACATTAGGTGACAGGGGGCACTAGAGGTGCAGACTCTACGGATGCCGGTTTTGGGGTTGCTGATGCTAGAGGTACTGGTCCTGGGGGTGCCGACACTAGAGGCGTTGGTTCTCGGGTGGTGACGCTAGAGGTGCTGGTTCTGGGAGTGCTGCTTCATGGGGTGCTGACTCTGGAGGGTCTGACCAAGTGGGCCCGCGACGTTCGATGAGGTTGCAGTAGCAGCAGCGGGCAGCAGTCGCATAGCAGCAGCCACCTGTGACTGGCCTTCAGCTTCTTGGTCTCCCTTCCCCATCCACAGACCACTCACCATTTCTACCTGTTTACGGTCCCATGTTTCCTCCCCCAGACTTGACTCCGGCTCGTTCTCCTTCCTAGTAAAAGTTGTCTCCTCCTCTATCTCCTTTCCCGTCCCATGTTCCGTGTCCTCTGTTACTGACCTCCACTCCTTGTTCTTCCGTACTCTCTCATTTTGCGTTTGGCCTCCATTTGTCCTCTTGTTGCCTCATGTGTTGTCCTTCACTGTCTCTCCTCCACCTGCTGCCTTGACTATGCCACTCAATTGGTTTCTCCTACTACCCATCCTGAGTCCGGGTGCTCCTGCCCTTGTCTGTGACGTCCTTGAGGACAGGCAGTTCGATTTGGCCTTCCTTGCGGCCGCTGCTCCTCACCTCTGGGCCATGCGGCTAGCTCCTGAGGGGGACCTAAAAATTGTTGACATTTCGACCCTCGAACTCATGCAGAGGCAGTGTCTGGACCCTAGGCCTTCCAGTAGGTAGCAACCATTGATGCAGGTATGGCATTTTGAAGGTCCACAAGTACGTTCGACGACGCAGTTCCCCCTCCTAGCATATGGTTCTGAAACTCTGACACCTGGATCGCTGCCTATCAAGGCGTGCTACGTAGAGAGAGGCAAGAGTCAGCGTGAGGGGGTAGACTTCTTTCAGGCCTTCTCTGTTAAAATATAATTGTTATAGTTTGTATTGTATAGTTTAGGTGGTGCACAACTTTGTTAGTGCTAGGGTTAGGTTTCCTATATCTACCCTTGTACATGCTCATTCAAGTAATTCATTCTCTCGTTCAGTTCTTGACATGGTATCGAGCGTAGTTCGATCCAATGGGCCCACTGCCTAGCGCCCCACCCTAGCCCGTTTGCACCCCGTTGCCCGTAGCGCCCTGTCCTCATGTCGCTCGCAGCGCCCCGTCCTAGTTTCGCCCGTTACGCGCTTGTTTTAGGGTTTCGCCGCTAGATCGCCGAGCGTTGCCCATAGCGCCCTATAGCCCGCGCCTCGTCCCCTACCGTGCCCCATCCCCTAAGGCAGCCCATCACCCCAGAGCCCAGCACGCCCCGTCACCCCGCAGCCCAGCGCGCCCCGCCACCCAACAGCTCAGTGCGTCCTGTCACCGCGGAGCCCAGCGCGCCCTGTCACCCCGCATCCCCCATAGACCCGTCGCCACGTACGCCCCATCACCCTGTAGCCCACACGTCCCATTGCCATGCGCACCCCGTCGCCACGCCACCCGTTAGCGTACGTGGATTTCGCCAATTTGCTGAGTCGATGCGAGAATGGAGTGGGGGCCGGCCCGTCTGGCACCACTTTCGAGCATCTGCGCGACGCGGCAATTACAAATGCACCTGTCTGCACCCATCTGCACGCCCTGGTCAATACCATGATGGCGGGAAAATTGCCCCAGCCTGTAGCAGAATTACTCACGTCATCACGACTGGTAGCACTTGCCAAGCCAGAAGGCGGTGCTCGCCCCATAGCAATCGGCGAGTGCCTCACTCGACTAGCAGCAAAGGCTGCTCTAACGGTCATGGGAGAAGCAGCGCGGAGTTTCTTCCTG